GGTCGCGTGGATGCGGTAGTCGGGCGACCCGATCAAGGGCGTGAGATAGCCCGTGCTGAAGATCAACAGGTCCAGCGGGTACTTCTCGCCGTTGGCCACCACGGCGTCGTCGGTGATGTAGTCGACCCCGCGACCCTTGGTGTCGACCAGCTTGACGTGCGGCAGGTTGAAGGTCTGGAGGTACTCGTCGTGGAAGCACGGCCGCTTGCACCATCCCGGGTACCACGCCTTGAGGCTCTCGGCCGTGGCGGGATCCTTGACAATCTCCTCCGTGCGCCGACGGATCCGTTCCTGTCGCGGAATGTCCAGCTGGTGCAGCCACTTGACATACGCGGGTACCATTTCCGGCGTGATGGCGCGAGGAGTGCCCATCAGCGCGCTGTACGCCGGGAACTTGGTCCAGGCGTCGCCCACGTGGTCCTTCTCCGGCGGCGGGTCCAGGTTCTCGATGAAGCTGTCAAAGTTCAGCCGGCGGGCTTTCTGCCACCCCTTCTTGGACCGGATTTCTCGATCCCACCACTCTGGATCCGTCTCCTTCTGGCCCCGCGCGTCCACCGCCGAAGCCGTACGTTGGAAGACGACTACTTCTTTGGCAAACTGCGCCAGTTTGGGCACGGCCTGGATCGCCGTCGCCCCTGTGCCCACGATCCCCACGCGTTTGTCTGCGAGGTTCGACAGGTTCTGGTCGAGCTCAGAGCCGCCGGTGTAGGCGTAGTCCCAGCGGGCAGTATGGAAGCTGTGGCCCTGGAACGTCTCGAGGCCCTTGATCTTGGGGAGTTTGATCCAGTTGGTGGTGCCGGCGCCCAGCACGACAAAGTGGGCTGAGACGGTGAAGCTACGGTCTTCGTGACCCTTGCGTGACCAGGTCATACGCACGCGCCACTCGTTGGCCTCGTCGTCCCAGTGCATCTCGTTGACCGACGTGCGGAACATTGTTCTCTCGGTCATGCCGTACTTGTCCGCGAGGAGGTTGGCGTACTGCCTTAGCTCCGGCCCGTACGAGTACTTGTGCTTGGGCATATACCCGGACTCCTCCAGCAGGGGCATGTACACATAACTCTCAATGTCGCACATCAGGCCGGGGTACCGATTATAGTACCAGCTGCCGCCGAAGCCGCCGGCGGCGTCCACCATCCGGATATGTTCGGCAGGGACGCCAGCTTCCTCGAGGCGCGCGACGCATGTTAAAGCGCCATACCCGGCCCCAATGACCAGGAACTCGCAGTACGAGCCGTCCTGGAGCACAGGCTCGCCGTCGTCGCTGTGCCCGTCGTCCCAGATGTCGTGGAAAAAATGCGAGAACTTGCCCGACTTTGCAATGTCGATGTACTGGCTCTGGCCCTCGGCGCGGATGCGGATGTCGCGCTCCCGCTCATACTTGGACTCGATGGCATCGATGGTCTCCTTGGGCAGGTCGGTGACATCGGCTGGATTGCGAAGCGGCGACGCATGATGGACGCCGTTGACTGCCATGGCTTATACAGATAACCTTTATCAATGTTGTTTCCGGTATAAGAAGGTGGACTTTGGGGGGAAAAAAAAGAGGACAAAGCGAGATAAGATGATGAGAAGGGAAAGTGATGCCCCAGTTATGGGTAGGATGTATGATATAAGAGACTTCAATCACAAATACAAAGTCATACAGAGCATAAGTTGTTTTATATGCCCTTTATGAATCAGTCACCTTCACAAAACAAACAACACTACAAATCAATTTCTCTGGCCGAATGCTCAGACACTCAGGCCACAACTCCAGGATTGAACCCCAGCCGGGTTATGTGTGTGTGTGTGTGTTGCATGTCGTTTATAGCCATGGGCTTTTTTTCTTCCCCACAAATAACGGCAAAGAATAAGGAACAAAAACCAAGACAAATTGCTGGCCCAAAAGACTTTCTACCTACACACCTCTCTGACTTTCTCGCTCCCGCCCTCGCTCCCTCACCTGAGGCGAAGAGAGGAAAAAGGCAAAAAAAAAGGGAGCCGCAATCTACCGGCTGGCCAGCTGGTGCGAAACTGGCCGAGGTGCTATTCGTCGGTTGATTTGTACAACTCTGTAGTGGTTGGAACGGAGGGGAGTCTCCACCTTCTCCACGTCTATCAGACAGACTCTCGGCCGCGAAAGATGCAGAAAACGTTAAACAGGAAGAAAAGGAAAAACGCTTGCTCGGGGCTTCTCAGGTGATACGAGGAAATGATTATGGGAGAAAATTAACCATGCCAGAAGGACCCGTTTTCGGTCTTTTTTGATTGTCTCCCCATACCTTGTCGAAGTACATGCACAGTGCCATGCCATGCCTTGCCTTGCCTTGCCAAAAATGGGCCGAGGGAGCAATGGTCCATGGGAGTGCAGCCTTGCCATTGTCCACAGAGCCAGTTCTACTATGCCGCTACTGCGAATATGCGTACGGTAGTGCCGATGATATCGACAGACTCCCAGTAGTGGCAGATGATGGCGGGACACGACAGATCCAGATCCATCCAGACCGTTTGCTAACTTTGTTGTTGCTGTCGCCCTGCTATCTCCCGTGATATGATGATCGGGACATCTATTGTATAGTCGATTATCTTGTCGTGTACCCAGTCAAGCCGTGACACACAATCACACAATCATAGCTCTTCTGGCAAGATATCGTTTTGACCCATCACCACCGGCATCCCTCGATCTCACCAAGACGAAAAGAAAATGTCCAAAATCTATCGCAATACTGATTTTCCATCCCCTGACTTCCCGCGTCTCGACCTCCTGACTCTCCTCTTTGGTAAGAACGCAGAAAGCGATCATGGACATCACCTCGTGCCGGAAATCTGAGCTGACAAGATAGAACAGAGTCACCGGACTGCAGGGCAGAGGATCAGACGCCGCTGCACTGCGTGGCAGGCACGGGCGCCAGTCTGATCAACAAGAGGGACCTGAGCGACTTGACGCAGCGCCTGGCTTATGCTCTGCGCCATCGCTATGGCATCGGAAGTAATGGACCGGATCGGGACGTGGTCACCGTGCTGAGCTTCGGGCAACCCATGGTCGCTGCGGTGCTGTTTGGCGTCATTGCCGCCGGCGGAGTGTACTCGGCGGCCACACCATCGTCGACGACGGCAGAGTTGGTGCGGTATCTCAACATATGCAACAGTCGCTTGATCATGTGCAGCTCGGAGTTCAAGGACGTGGTGATGAGGGCAGCAAAGGAATTTGGTCTGTCTTCGGATAGAATCCTCGTCTTCGAGTCGACGCCGGAGTGGACTGTGTCTCCCCTGAACGGATCCGGGAGTATCCTGACCGAGAATCGCTTGCATTGGGAGACGATCACGGATGTCTCGAGGCTGAAAGAGAGTCTGATCGTCATCCTTTGGTCGTCAGGGACCACGGGGTTCCCCAAAGGTATGTTCTGGAGAAAATAAAATATCGCTCATGACTACGCGCGTTATACTAACTCAGAAGACAAGGCGTGAAGCTCTCCCACCAGAACCTTGTGTCCGAGACACACCTGACCTCTCTCCCGTCACGGGAGTTTGCACAACAGGCGGCACAGAAAGGCATCCAGATGCCGCCATACCGGGCACTGGCTCACTTACCGATCAGCCACATTGCCGGACTGTTCGCGTACCTCATCGCGCCCTTCTACGCTGGGGGGCAGGTATTCTGGATGCGCAAATACGAATGGCACAAGATGCTACAGTTCGTCAAGCAGCACGAGATTACCCTCTTCTATACGGTCCCCTCGATCTATCTCCGCATCTCCAAGTCGCCCGACGTTCGGGATCACTTTCGCTCCGTTGTTTCCGCTGTCACGGGAGCTGCCCCGATGGACGGCGAGCTGCAAAAAGCTGCCAGTTCGAGGTTAGGGGCCGGTGAGACGGTTATTGGCCAGACGTGGGGTCTGAGCGAGACGACGGGAGCTGTCACGATCATGCCTCCTGGCAAATCGGACGCGACGGGGAGCATCAGCCCATTGGTCCCTGGTGTTGAGATCAGGTGAGTAGGTCCAGGACTGCCCCCCTCTCTCTCAAGGGGTGACCGTTTGGAAATGGACTAAAACCTAACGTGTTCGTAAATGTAGGTTAGTGGACGAGGACTATCGGGACGTCGAGCCAGGACAGCCAGGCGAGCTCCTCGTCCGTGGTCCGATGGTGACAAACGGATACTACAACGACCCCAAGGCCACGGCGGCAGCCTTTTACAAGGATTGGTTCTGCACCGGCGACATTGCCGTCTGGCGCGATGGCCTATTCTACATTGTAGACAGGAAAAAGGTATTTCTCTCCTCCCTCTTTACCCTTCTCCCCGAGACACCTTGTTGTGCTGCTGACCTTGGATCCCTCCCAGGAAATCCTCAAATACAAAGGCCAACAAGTCAGCCCCGCCGAGCTCGAAGCTCTCCTCATCACACACCCCTCCATTCAAGAGGCCGCCGTGATCGGCATCCGCGACCCGAGTGATCCGACCTCAGACCTCCCTCGCTCATACGTCGTCGCCGATCCGGGAGAGATCAGCGCCGACCAGGTCAAAGCGTACGTGAGCAAGAATCTGTCCGCGTCGAAGCAGTTGCGCGGCGGCGTGGTGTTTGTCAAGGAACTGCCGAAGAATGCTGTGGGGAAGATTCTGCGCAGGGAGTTGCGGGATCAGGCAGGCAGGGAGAGTGCGCGGCCAAAGCTTTAGACGTGTAAATGAGGTATTGCTGTGACATCAGACTAGACATCTAGATTGATATTCGTTATGGGATAGAATCTCTAGAAGATAGACGGAACGGATTAGCTCGGTATGCAACTCGTACGACAAATTGGGAATTTTTGGACTGGTGGTTCAGCAATATCGAGGGTCATTTGGACGGGATGAAAGACACAGGTTAAGTCAAGTCATGCCTTTTTTATACCGCTACCAGGTATTGATGTGATGATGTGTTTGACAAAGCTGGCTGGCATTGACGAAAGGGGTGACTATCCTCCATACTCGTCACGGCCAGCGAGCCTGCCGACCAATATAGATCACGAAAGTTTGCGCTCATCTAAGACTTTGCCTCGACGGCCTTGTAAAGCGCCTTTTCTAGCTCAATCTCCGTCTCCCGGACGCTGATGTCGCCCGTTAGCAGCAGTTGCGTGAACATGAGGCCTGCAATGCCGCTGGCTCGGTCGACCCACTAGACGCAACAAATAGAGAAGAGTTTTGTTAGCGTGTGATTCGTGAACTTCCTCTTCGCAGGTATTTTTTCCCAAGGGGAACACGAAACGAAAGAATGAACCATGAATGAGACCTGTGTAGGTGTGACTTGGGAACTTACCCAATGCGTATTCCCCATCCCCGACCAACAGACGGTCCCTTTCCTCCTCCTCCCCAGTAAGTCCTCAGTCTGCACCGTCCCCGCGAGACAGTGATCGCCCTCCATGCCCTCGGGCCAGAGGATCTGGAACAGATCGCGAAACGAGCCGTTGATGTAGCCGTTCATGGCGGCGCGGCTGGCCTCGCCGATCTGCGGCCGGAACATCTCGTCCACCGTCTCGGGGTGCGAGAAGATGGGCGCTCCGCCCGCGACGAGCGCCCCCAGCAGCTTGAGGTAGTCGTCCGCGGTCGACCACAGACCGACGCCGCCGCAGTCGTCCTTCTGCGGGTACGCGTGCGGGAACACCGCGGGCGTGAGGGGTCCTTTGCCGTGCGGGCCGTCGGCGCGGTAGGCCATCTCCTGTTTGGGTGGGAGGGAGAGCACTTCCTGAAACTCCCATGGCCGAAAGGTCGTCGATGTCGCGCCCAGCTTGGACCATATGTTCTCGCGCATGTACTCGTCGAAGCGCTGGCCGGTTACGGCTTCGACCTGGACAATGCAGACAAGTAAACCGCTTTGTCAGTCAGGAATGCATCAGGCAAGAATTGGGGCTGCCTTTGCGCCTCGTCCGTCTGATGTGGTAGTGAAGGGGGTGGGGGCACTGATGAACGTACCACTTGTCCAGCCCAATCAAGGCCACAGCCATACACCCAGGACGTGCCGGGTTGGAATACTAACGGGTGTGTCAAACCCTCCTTTGCAAACAAACAGACATTAGCATCAGAGCGCAGATTTGCTAGAGCAGGGGAGGATCGCATCCTTACAATTGACCCAGTGAAAGAAGTCTCTTTCCTCTGTGTGTAGTCGCTCCATTTACCCAGCGTAGGCTGTAACGAGTCATATGCGAGACCGGAGGTGTGAGATAGGAGTTGTCTGCCCAGCAGAGTCCAGTGATCTCGGTCAGCGAAGCGAAGATTCGACAGCTGCAGCTCCGGCAAGAGCAAGATGACCAGAACGGCAGACTTGTACCTGGTTTATAAGACTTACCGGAGAGTGATTTTGCCTTGGACCTCCTCATATACGGGATGTCCATCTGGAATCGGCGAGTCAGCATTTCTTTTTGTGAACTCGTTTAGCTCCACCGACTTGGCAGAGTCATGGACCTGGCAATGGCAGAAGTAGGATGGAGGAGGTAGGAGGAAGTATTCTCACCCTCAAAGCCGGTCAACACTTTGACGTCCTCCAACGGCTTCAGCCATTTCCGGACATCGTCGTCCAGCCCGACCAGGCCGCGTTCCACGAGCTGCATCGCAGCGACGGAACTGGGCATCTTGGTCATCGAGGCCATCCACGTCAAGGCATTGGTGGTCAGGGGTTTGGTCGGATCCTTGTCGACGCACATACTCCCGGCGGCCTTTTTGTAGAGGATGTTGCCTAAGGTTGACAGTGTCAGTCATTGCTCACTCTCCCTCTTTGTCCCTCTCTGCTCTCAGTCCTCATGCTTGCCACCCTCGTTCATAGACCAGAGAAAGCACGTCTTACCTTGAGCATCAATGGCCGCAAAGGCCACGCCATGGAGAGTGCCGGTTTTGGGATCCGTGCAACGCTCGAGTATCTTGTCAAGTTCGGCCATGGTTTCAATTGTCTTGCGAGTGATCGGCCGTTGTCTCTGTGTAGCTTCTTTCGACGGTCAATGTTGCCTCCTCAAGTCTATACAGGGCAGCAATGTCTTTCCGTATTGGTTTTACATGTATCCCAGTGACCCTTGCACTCTGCTCCCATTACCAAAGACGCCCCGATGCACATCACCCATTTCCCCACGTGATGCACAAAGTCCGGGGCCCCATCATTCTACCGAACCTTTTCCCTTTGATGTCTTGTGCTAAGGCGAATCTTTTCGGAGCAACCCACAGCACAATCTATTGAACCGACACAAATCACCTCGGTTGAATTATGGGGTCAGTTTAGGTGGAGGTTCCCATTAGTCCCGAGTCAGACCTTGGACCTCACATCGCCACCTCTCTTCCTACAACTTGTGTGGAGCTTCGGCTAATTCCCCTTGCAATCTTGTTCCGGTTGTACAGAGGCGGCTCGGCGACACTTATCCGTCGACAAGGCCCAGATGACCCCATGACTGGCGATCTAGCCGGGAGCCGCAATGCGAATTACTTGTTAATTGGTTAATTGTAGGGCTGAGAGCTTCAGACAACAGTCTCGTGAAGCACGAGGGTCCTACTTGAGAAGTCAGGCGATTGAGCTCGTATCTCTGAACGTCGGGTCATGCCATCTAGGATATACTTGTACATAGATCCTCAAAATTCAATCGCAAACCAGGACCCTATTAGTCCGTGTCCCTCGGTGTCCAGGCACACGAGGGCTGGCCATATCAGACAAACGAGCCAGCTATTTCTAATTCAACGGGGAGTGCCATATCACATTGGGAATAGAAATCAAGCTCAGGTCTAACCAGCCTCTATTTACGAGTCTTGTGTCCGGAACTGCCCAGAACAGAGGTGGACGCAGAGCTCCCCGGATCCATCCAGACATGTGGCGACCCTGTCAAGTGTAAACATGTCTAGAAATAATGCAGTGCTCTGTACGAGGTAGTCCCTGATCCTCTTTGTCTCCTCCCATCCATGAGAAAGGCTCGAATGGCCCATTGATTTGACTCCGCCACTCTCCACGCCAAGCTTGGAGCGAACTTGCGTCTCGCCTCCCCGCAAACCGCGATACGAAGACAACTTTCATCTCTCGATGTGCCCATGAACTTTTGGTCGCAACACGACATTCCCTCGAATGCAATAGCAGACCAGAGACATAGCGACTTTTGAATAAATCACACCCGCGGCATGACCATGACCGCCGTCAATCACAGTCCTCTGCTGGACCTCGCTGAGGTTGCCAACAATATCAGACCACAGCCTCTGACCGAGAGTCGAAGCGACTCAACACCGCGCAAACGGGCCAGAATTGCCTGTTCGTCCTGCCATTCTCGCAAAGTGCGCTGTAACATTGTTCAACACGGCCCTCCTTGCTGGAATTGTCGTCAAGATGGGAGCAAATGTATTGTTCCTCCACCCAAGGTCCGAGGGTGAGTCCTCTCCCATGTATCGCTAGCCGTTGACAGTCCTATGAGTTTGTTGAAATCGTAATTCGGTCCAGACTGACAAGCAGATGTATGCATTGAAGGAGACGACCAAAAAGACTGCCGCAAACACCGGATCGAAGATCGGCTACTCCAGTTACGACTGGCTCGCCCCAGGCCAGCATTAGTCAAGGGACCGAAATGGTTGATTCTTTACAAAAGGCCTCGTCTGCAGTTCACAGCGAGCGGACACCCACATCATCGACACGTACGGGTGCTGCTCACTCCACAAATCATAATCAACCATCAGACGCTGCTAGTCAACAAAATTGCACCTCGTCAACGGCAGTTCAGGATGATGACGAGGGTGACAATGTCGCGGCTTACATGGATGCGATGAATGATCGACCCATTGAACAAGAACAAGCCGCCGTGCCACTTTATCTGGGTATGATTAGCCTCCTGGTGACCTGCCCGCCTGCTAAGATAATGCGACACAGGCGAACCGCATCTACTTTCATTTGTGATGGATGTCTGCAACTCTGGGCACCAGTCTCACTACCTGGTGCCACGCGCCGCCGCTCGCACGCTTCCCTCAGACGACTTGACCTTTTTACGAGTCAAGGGCTGCTTCTCATTACCTAGTCCCAAGGTGTGCGAAAGTTTGTTGAAACACTACTTCCACTACGTCCATCCGCTGCTGCCGATTGTGGATGCCAATCGTGTGCTCACTCAATATCACCACGAAGGTGACGCACCGTGCGTGAACCTGCTCCTGTTATGGAGCATGTTCTTCGCCGCCGCCAATGTGAGCAAGAAATTCATTTGCGTCTTATAACACGTTCACGGCGAATGGCACTGACTGAAGTTGTTGTGCACCTAGTTTGCAAGCCCTGAACTAGTTCAGGAAGCCAAATATGCTTCGCGGAAAGCCATGAAGAGAGATCTGTACCAGAGAGCAAAGGTTTGTCGATATCAACAGCTCTCTACTTCTTTCCCTGTCACTACTTTAGTAGCTATTCAGTCCGCTAACTTCCGTGGCGCCTTTGATATAGTTATTGTATGATTCCGACTACGAAACTGACAAGATCGTGGTCATTCAAGCGGCGCTTCTACTCAGCTACTGGTTCATCGACTCCGAGGACCGCACTGGCACCTACCATTGGATAGGCATTGCCATCAGCCTTTGCCATACCATTGGCCTGCATCAAGATACCCAACGCCCATCCTTGAAGACTGCTACCTTACCCAACGCCCAACACGCCCTATGGAGATCGATATGGTGGTCATGCTTGTGCCGCGAGACTTGGATCTCGTTCGGCATGGGGCGCCCGATGCGGATCATGATGGAGAACTGCAACGTTCCCATGCCGACCCTCGAGGACGTGATGCTGTTGTACGGAAATGACACGACCCCCGGGCGAGAATCTCTCATGCCCCAAGAAGTGCCCTCGCTCGCCCTGTGTTGGCTCAAGATGCTGAACACGACGGTGGCACTGTACAACATCCACCGGACACACTACGGTCCTAACAGAGCCAAGTCCTCGACGGCTGACATTGCCCGTGATCAAGACATGTTGCTGAATTGCGCCCAAATGCCGTCTGCTTCCGGCACCAGTCAAGGCATACACCAGCCCTTGAGACTGGTCCAACAGCAACTCGAACTCATTGAGCAGTAAGGCGTCCTCTCATTAAACCCATCATTCGTATGTTAGTGTTGAGGGCAAAGGCTGATTTGTTCTTGCCAGCTTTATCTCCATTGCACTGTACAGACTGTACATACACAAGGCTCCGTCAGACCTCAGCCCTGAACAGTACGAGTTGTGGCGGCCTACCATCATGGAAAAGGTGTATGCTTCTGCTTCTGCAGCCAGCACAGTCCTTGTAACTTTGGGGCAAGCAAGCCTCATCGATCGCTGTCAATCAATCATGTAAGTCTTGGACATGTCTGTCGTTCCTTTACTTCTTCAACGTCAGAGATTCTGCGTATGAAGCAGAACCATCTGACTTTTTGGGCTACCAACTCTAGAATCACCGCGATTATCCCCGTCATGCAAATCCACCTCTATGGCTCGGTTTTCTCCGACGGGCTGCGGCAAAAATTCAGCATCTACCAACTGGACATGTGTATGGCCGTGCTTGCGGAACTGGGCAAAACCTTCTGGGCGGCCGACATGACTTACAACATCTTCTCCGAGGCCAAGCGGAAGATCAAATCCAAATTCGACAGACAACCACCCGTTCCGCGACCTTCTAATATCACATCGCCAGGATCTAACCACTGCATCTCGACTCTGACACCGACACCAGCCCAGCCCGTGACAGCCATGGGAAATCCGTCGAGCCATGGCCAGACTTCCTCTTCAATGGATCTTTCAGAGCCAGATCTGAGCGCGCTGTTGGGCGGCGAACTGTTCCTCTCGGCAGATAGATGTCTCTTTCCGGACACGATCTTTGAGTACGTCTTCCCTCCTTCTATAGCGCATATACTTTGTGAATCCCATGCAGGCAGGTGACTTACACACAGCCATCGTCTACAGGCCCGGTGGCGAATGGGACTTTGACAGCAACACCTTTATGAGTCCGTCGGGGTTTATGAACTTTGAGAACACGAATGAAGTGGCGTTCATGTCTCACGAGACGTGAAAAGTGCTGTATGCAGTTGCGCTTGGAGGCATCCAACGACAACGCCGTGTAGGGGCTCGTGTATTGGGTTCCTGCTAGGCGATAATACCAAGAATACCAACAACGTACTAACCCGAGTGTGGCTTATCACGAGTGTGAGCAGAGATTCAGCCGGTGGAGACTCCTGGACATAGAAGCTCACTGCCCTGCAGTTATTCTTTGCCCTCTAACATGAGAGGCTGTCGATCTGCGTCTCCGGGAAGAATGAATAATGAGGCCCAGCGCCGTGATCCACGTGATTGTCAATCACATCAAGGGATTCTACCGCCAAATAGATCTTGGAAGGGGGTTCTCCGATTGGCAGAGAGTGTACAGCAGCCGTTCTTGACCCCTTGCCAGCTATCTGCAGATGGCGAGGCTGAGGTTGAACCGGCGAACTTGATAGCTCGGATTACGTAAAGGCGGCTCCGGAAACTGGCCACCCAGTGGCACTGGCGGCGGCCGACGCAGGCACCGCAGCTGCGCAGCTTCGCAGCAACATCATCGATCTGCCAGCTTCCATCATTCCAGATTATTCCTTGTTGCCATTCCATTCCCATCTGCCGTGACTGCTACGCCGTCCCTCTCTACCTGTCATAAGTTGTCAAACACCTAGTCCTCTCCGCCCAAAAGACAGCTCACAGGTGGTCTGACCCCGCCATCAGCGCACCAGCGGCCGGAGATCATCGACTACTCCAAGTAGCTGTGCCGCTCGACTTTCGTGGTCCTGAACACAACCGCCCTCCAGCAACAGAATCGCAGCGATGCCCTGCCCGATAAGCATCACCAAGTTCGTGGGGACCATCTCCCTCGGTCTCCTGACGGTGCGTTGCTCCCACTTTGGTTCCTTTCTGCGTACTGACAGCTTTGTGACAGGGCGTCTCCTACACTCTCCAATCTATAACTCTACCCTCTCTTGCTCTCCTTCCCTCCGCGTCGCTCGCCGCACGTACACTTGCCACAATCCAGACCCAGTCGACGCGGCGGATCCTCACTTTAGCGTCCATCTCCTCTCTATCTTTGATCACCGCATACACCCTCGCAAGTCCCCGAGGTCGCCACCCATACCTCCTCTGGACCGCACTTGTGAGCTTCATTGGAGGCCAAGGTGTCGAGTACTGGTTCAATGGCCTCTCACGCTTCCCGTCATGGGGCATCAGTTCCCGATCAAGTGGACATGTGAAGGCCTCGAGAGTTGTCAGTCCCTCGGCGAGCGACGAGAGCAGTTATATCGAAGTGGAATCAGATAGCAGTGAAGAGAACCAGGTGAACGGCGAAAAGGTCGAGATGGAGATGGTCCGGGAACGCAAGGTGCAGAAGGTGCGAAGTTGGATTGCCGGAATCGGCTTTGCCATGGGTGTCGTGGGTATCTGGGGTGATGGAGCGTAAATTCCTGTTCACGAGGATGCGGCTGAGCGCGGTTGACCATGATGTGAATGGGGTGGAGTTTTGATTTACGAGCTACATGATGAGCGAGCGGGTGGCTTTGATTCATTTTTGGCCACCTCTTGGAAGGCGAGATGCAAATCGGAAGGAGAAAAGTGCTGTGGACAACGCTCCAGCAAGACGACCACCCAAGGACGACGAGAACGGTGGCATTGCACAGTTGACGGAAAGGACCGGTGTCTCATTCAACGACATGACTGCAAAATTGCGCGAAAACGAAAACTTCTGTACCCAATGAAGGGGTCTCTGACTATACAACGAACGATATACCTCACTCGACTCGATCGACACCACACCCCTCCTCTCCGAACGACACGTATCCGATAAGAGAATACTTATTCGGCAGGAGAATATCCCACTCCAAAACTTCCTTGTCTTGAAAAGAGGATTACTTACTCATTGACTTGACTGGCTCTCTTGCATTTCCTAGAGATGTTGACAATGGCTGGAGCTGCTCGGCTGTTCTCCTCGTTCGTAATCCATTTGCCCATGTACAAGTAGCTAGCTCTTCTGACCATCCGTACACATGGAGTTTCTCGATATAAAATCAACTCACTCAGTGCTCGGTCATCAACAAGGGCAGTAACTACCTAGTTGCCCAGTTACTTGGTCAAGCCCGGCTCTTTTTCCAATAGGTATTGAATGGATCTACCGTTCTCATCTTCTCGGTTGTGGTACAGTACTATCTGCGAACCCCCAGGCTGACTTTCTGGTGCTTCTGTTCCAGCCGGTACCCACCTACCTAGGCACCTAGGGAAACTAGCAGCTACGTACGCATTCAGGGTGCATATGTAGGTAGATAGGTAGGTAGGTAGGTAGGTCCTCTGAAAGTACAAGTACAAGTACAGGTACTTATCGTGCATGTTCGAGTGACGATCTATGTAGCGAGAGGTACTTGGTAGTTAGGCGGTAAAGTGACATGAGTGACTAACCCCTCCATCCATTATTACCTCATAATTTTACCCCGTACCTCATACCTCATACCCCTTTCAGCTTCGAGTCTTCGACCCACTAAGTAAGTAGCCTGCTAGCCTTGTTTGTTTTCTCGGTCATACATGCATGCGAGGTACATATACTCTCACTCGGTACACGTCACACGGTACTGGGTATTGGTCACATCACGTCGCATATAATCGGTAATTGCTAATCACTAATTAGGTAACTAGCTCGCGAGGTACCTAGATAGGCATGTATTCTCGCTTGCGCGTCTGCATCCCCTGCGTACCGAGCGGGTATTGTGGTTCTGCTTCCGGGTTAGATCCCGCGTCATGAGCTCGTTCGCGAGGCGCGGAGACGCGGTCGCGCGGTGGAACATCGAGGATGGGGGATAGGATAGAGCTGATAACGTAAAATACTTTATACCTCGAAGGTCAGGGACAGCATGGGTGAGTGAGGACAAACGTGAAGATAAGTCAGTCTATATCGTACGGACAAGACTCTTTCTTTGGGGAGGTATTGGTGTCTTTTGATTTACATTGCGCCGTCATATCTGCCAATGTCAAACACCTCTGCTTTTGAAACCATTCCCATGATCAAAATGCGATGAACGCCCTCCCAATGCATCTCCGCGGTTCCCAACGTGTAGTGGTCGTGTGAATCGTTCTTCCGTGACTGTGATCCGAAAGAATGACCGAGTGGCTTTACGCCCAGCATCCCGTGGAATATGCTCGATAGCTTATTCTTGTACGGCGGCGTGCAATTTGACGTCGTCGAACGCAGTGGTCAGTTCCACAATCTTGTTGCTCAGCCGCGAGTCAAACATGGCGTGGAAGTGGATCTGGGGTTCGTCCTTTGGGAGATAGAACTTGGATAGGATCTCTTTGCACGTCTCCCACGTGTCAACGCCCATCAGGACTGTTTGTTCGTCAAATGCTCGAGTAAACCAGTCGTCCCCGCTCAGAGCGCCAACGTATAGAACCCACAGCCTCAGGCGGGGGTGCAGGGTCTCCTCACCGAGAGCTGATCGTACACGGCCCAGCATCTTGGGGCCCGCTTTGTATATTGCCGTGGCCCCCACCGGGATGTTCTCCAGCCCACTGACTAGTTTGAGGATGTAGGCGAGTGCGAGGCTTGCTGAGACGTCGCTACCATCGACCGCATGGTTGATTGCCCGGCCGATCAGCAACAGCGTCCGCATCCGCATGAGGTTCCAGGAGGTAGGTCGGTGGGAAGGATCGCGGACGAAAATGTCATAAAGGGCACCCAGTTGCTGCAGTTCGATAAACAGAGCGCGTATTGTCCCCTTCAAACATATGTCCGTATAGACGTCCATAATAGGCAAGGGCACTTCAAAGGGTTTCGTCCCCCACCCGTCCATGGGTAGCAGAGTCTTCGTCAATGACAAAGCGGCGCGGTGTATGTCCATCTGAAACACACTAATCCATTTGTACGGGACGATACTCGCTGGATTCTCTCGGATTTGAGACTCCATAATGTATTTAGCCATGCGGAGGTGGGCTAGAGCATCATCGCAATTCTCTGCCCAGATCTCGGCGACAAGAAAGTGCATCAAGACATGCAGAGGAGGCTGGCCCTGGTCTCGCACATACGTCTGCAGGGCATTCAGGGCCTTGTACCGATGCACGAGGGATAGTCTGAGGAGAGAAGAGTCGGGTGAAGATTGGGAGATCAGGGTCAAGGGCGTCGACAGGAAGGCGAGTGCGGTGATATTATCGCACAGCGAGTCCGACGTGAACGTCGACCATGATGGAAGGATGTTGCCCTTGGCCTGGGCCTGGGCACGAGGGCCGGGACCTTGGATGACGGGAAAGACACATCGTCGCTCAAAGTCCATGATCTGATTGATACGTGAGGTGATGGGGACGGGCGTGGAATTGAATGGATCGGAGTTTCCTCGGAATGCGACGATACTCTGAACTGGTCGGTCTTGGACTTGTTCTAGCTTGATGTGCGGCCGCATGTAATCGTCGCCCACCTTGTCACCGTCGCCCACCTCCATTTTTGCGTCTTGGGCATCTCGCCTCCGTCGATCTGCTGCTGTCTGAGATCGGGGCATCACCACCGCCTTCCTCATCGAACGGGCGACCTCGACCCGACGCCATTTGTGGTACCCTGATTGGATGTGTGAGAAAACCTTATGGCGATGGGGCTTCGCCTTGAGGTTTTTGGCATCATGGTGGACCCAGAGTAGATCACCCGAATATGCCATCAGGCGTGTATGTCAGAGATAATATGACGGGCATCACAATCAACTCATGGACGTCAAGATTTGGTGGCTCGTGCGTTGGAACTTGGATGATGTGGGCGAGACACATTCGTCGAGATAAACAGACCACAAGTATGGCAGGAGTGAAGGTGAAGAAACCGGTGGCATTTGATTCCGGCCGTGACTAGGCATTTACTAGGCATCTTTAGGGCAAATGGGCCTTGCTCAGTTCTTAACTAAGCGGTTGTTTCTTACCTGCAATGTTGAACCGTGGTGTAGGAACTAAGGCGGTATCCGTTGCCGAGTTGCTACTTAATCGGGACCGCAAGGGGATGTGAAGGACCATGAAATTCCCCAGGTGAGGGGAGTGACGCTAAAAGCGGCATGCTATGTTCTGTGACATCAAAAGACTGGTTTCCATGGATGTTAAAAGCGGCACAGGATGACCCTGGATCTGTCCAGTCCAATACACCGACCAACAAATCCTGCCTGGCTCATGCACTCACAGTCACAGTCGCCAAATCAATCCCAATAGGATTTGCGGGGTCTGCCTCCTCGTTGCCGTTCTCGTCGCCATGTGCCGCAGGCTGCTCAGGCATCATTCCGCCGTCTAGACAAGAGAAGAACCTATGCGGCAATGCGAACCACCCTCGAACGCAATGGCCCAATCTCAATCTGACCCGTCCTACATATGCGCACCGACTGAGACGCCGGGCCATGCAGGAACCCGACCTCTCTAATTTGACGAGCTCCTGCCCTCAAAATGGCCACTGCCCCGATCAAGAAGGCATGTGATGCATGTCATCGCCGCAAGGTACGATGTTCCGGAGGTCAGCCGTGCCGCACATGCGGCCAAACCAATCTGGAATGCACCTATCTTGCCGTGCCTCAAAAGAAAGGCCCAAAGGGGAATCGATCCAAAGTGCTGTCGCAAATCCGTAATTCTCAGACAAAGAAGCGGCAGCAACTTGCTCAGACGTCTCCTTCTGATACCACTCCTCAGCTGTCACCATGTCGCACCCTGAAGCCTTCATTGGACCTCGGTCACCCATCAACATCAATGCCGTCTACGCATTTGTCCACTACGGCTCTCCTCAGCGAGGAGACCATGATGGATTGTGTCGATTTCTATTTCTCCAACATGTCTACGACTACTTCGATCCTCAATCGTCGTCTGCTAATAGAGAAGATGGGACCCCAGATCGCGAGCGATGCAGAATTTTACTGTCTCGTAGGCTCCTTGTGTGCCTTTGTCATGGTCCAGCCTGGCAAGAATTTGGCTGTTGCGCCAGGGAGCTATTACGAAGGTGAGCCCCTCGGGAATTGTTACGGCTATGCCAACCAGCTTCTCAATGACGTCCTTCGCGTGCGAAAGTCCATCGACTACATTGAGTTTCCTACTTTGACTGCCGTCCAGACCTCATTCTTCCTATTTAGCTGCTATTTCACCCTGGAGAAACAGAATATGTGCTGGTTTCATTTGCGTGAAGCTGTTACCTTGGCTCAGCTGCTGGGAATGCATGAAGAGTCATCATATCTTGTCGGTGATGCTGTTGAGAACATGTATAAACGACGAATGTATTGGTTGCTCCTGGTTACTGAGAGGGCATATGCGATGGAACGACACCGCCCACTTAGTCTCCACCCGACTATTGGACTACCATCGGTCAGCGAGCCACACGAGGAAGAGAGAATATCTGGCTTTCTCTGCTTGATTGGGCTCTTCCGCTGCATCGATGACGAGTTCATGGCTTTTTGGAACAAAGTCAAGACCCATTGCTCGGACACCTGGCTTTCGCAGCTTCAACAAGAGGTTGCAAACTCGATACCGCACGCCTTGGAGACAACAGAAAGCCAACTAGCCGATGTTTGGGTCACGTTACATTGGCTACGCATCATGATCTGGCAACTGGCCATAACAAATGGTTGTCTTTCATCGACGTCGACTGATTCTTCCATGACGTTCAAGTTCCCCATAGAGGTCGCCAGGGACTTAGTCCAGGACATCTCAACCTTGTCACGAGACGCAATGGAGGTCCATGGAGTAGGGCTGATTGAGAAACTATTCGACATCGCCTGTACGCTGACGGACGTGATCTCGTGTGTCCCACTCATGCCTTTGGAAATATCGACCCCGTGCAACGACACGCCGTTGGAATGTCTGAACAAGCTTGTCACCCTCATTTCGCAGTTGCGAGGCGGAGCATCGAGGTATTTCCCATTGTTGCTTGTTAAAGTCTCAGAGACACTGCCTAGCTTCCCGCCTGCTGCGCCAATGGACCTGGATCCGGTACAGATGAGCATCAAGCAAGGCTACGCTGGTGCGAGTGATCACATTCCCACACCGGAGGCCACGCAATTGCGAGAGATCAAATTTCCACGTCCGAGCCAACACGACTCTTCCTCTTAAAAGGGGGTGTCGATTAAACCGCCTCAAGTCGTACAGGCCGCTTTCACGCTTGGGAAAGAGCCTGCCGTGCATACAGCAGAGCCTCACGTTGTGCTTCGGTATTTCTTACATATTCACGCGTCTGTCCGGTGACGACACTAAACAGGAGATCTCATGCAAAAAGGAAGTACAAACGTCGAGTGGACAGGCGCGCATCATGGCATATTCTCTACCACTGCCTGTGGTATTTACTGTATGGAAAATTCTTGAGTTTGAGAATCTAACTGGCCAAGTCAAGAGTAACGAGATCTCTCCTCTGGCAGTATCTCAGAACGATTCATCTATCGCTTCTCCATTCTCCAGGGTCTTCGAGTGAGGTGGGTAGTCTTTCGAATGGAACGGTCCGCATTCCCTTAGAGAAAGCTGGCACACCTCATCCATGCATTGTAGCACGAGGTCGTCCTTTACCCCGCAATTCGACGTGGCTAGGAGAATCGGCTGATCAATGTGAATTCTCATCGGCTATGCTCCTCAATTTCATTTCCCTCCCATACTGGAAATGAGATCTTTCTGAGTCTGTCTCTCGCGGTTGACGCCCGTCAACGGAGCCACGCTCCTCAGGTCGCCTACCACGTCCTTTGCCTTGCCAAAGTATACTTCCTGGAGCATGTTTCGCATCTTGCCTTCCATGTCCTCGATCAATCTTCCTAAGTTGATGACGTGGCCTCCATCTTTGCCCTGTCCGCCGACATTCTCCACCACCAGGTCGGCCTCGACTTGTCTCGTCATGCTCCCAGCCAAGGTTAGTGACCCGAGTCCCTCGCCATCACGACCCAGATGCAAGATGACAGTGCTGGTCAGCTTGTAATGACATGTCCGTCCACTGCCCCTTCTCTCGTCGACCTCAAACACGTGTATGCTGTCCCAGCCAGCCTCTTTGCCCACGGCCTTTTTCAACAAAACTACACCTGCGAACCCGTCATCCAAGTCCCACAGGTACACCGACCCCGTGCCGCCCTCGTAGTACATCTGCCTGTACACGTCAAACGCCGTGTTCGCCTCGACTTCCATCTTCCGTACGCGGTCGCTCGGGTATGTGGCATCGTCTAGTGGGGGCTCAAATTCGTTGCTCCAGGGACTCCGATATGAGTCGCCGTCACGGTTGTAGTCGCATAACAGATAGTCCCGGCCGGTCTTTTTGCAGCGTGCCGACGTCAGCGGCTGGTCCACGGAGGAGAGGAGGTCTTCTGTGAGATCGGGCACGAGCGTGGTTATGGAGGTCAGGTTGTCCGACACCTTGAGTGGAGAGAGGCGGCGGAGGAGGTCTCTGCAGGCAAAGGAAACAGGGGGTAAAGTGTTAGCAAGAAAATCCGGCACATCCTGTCTTCTTACTGCCTGGCGGGGCGAAGCTGGAGGGTTTGTGGGAGCTCACAAGGCGGCATCGAATTGGGCTTCGCTTGCCATTGAGCAAGCCGATGAGTGGTTGCCTTCTGTTTGAAGTACAGGGGCTGTTCAAACAATAGAAAGGTTTCTGTTGGGAGATGAGCGAGTCAAGATAGCTACGGGCTGTGTTCTTGCGAGGTTCGTATGGGTCGAGTCAACCTGGACAATTGTTGGCGAGGAAGTATGTTCTGTCTGGCTGCTGCTGATGGGCAATGATCGCGGGGTGAATTTCACCTGCGGGCGGGTCGGTGAGATACACTTCGAAAAATGGTGCGTCAGACCAAAACATTTTCTTTGGTTCCTCCTGCAGTACCTCGTCCAAGAGGGACAACGATATATCATTTGCTATATTCTGTAAAGTTTCTCCCGAGTCATTGTTCTCTCCCATAACACTTGATCTATCTTGCCAGCTACTTGAGAGGAACAGTGTCCGCGTAAAGATGTTTCAGCATGCCGGCAGGATACCGCTCCCCGGTGATCTCAGCGGCTTCGACCTTCTGTCTGATCTCTTTCTCTTCATCCGGCGTCAACTTGATCTGTAAACTGGCCATATTCTCGTCAAAGTTCTTCGCTTTGGTGGTGCCAGGGATGGGGATGATGTCTTCACCCTGAGCCATCAACCAGGCCAGCGTCAATTGACCCGGGGTTACGTTCTTCTTCTCGGCGATGCTGGCAATGGCATTCACAAGCTCCATGTTCTTGTGGAAGTTCTCCTTTGAGTACCGGGGCATGACGCGACGTCGGTCATCTGGGTCGAAATCGTCGTGCGACTTGATCGTGCCGGTTAGAAAGCCTCGACTAAAGGGCGAATAGGCGACGACCGCCACCCCCAATTCTCGACACGTTTTCAAGAGGTCGTTGTGCTCGATTTCCATGGCAAAAGGCGAATATTCGACTTGGACGGCGGCAATGTGATGGACTTTGCAAGCTCGTCGGAGTGTCTCGGCAGAGCACTCGCTCAGTCCGAGGTAGCGAATTTTGCCTTCCTTTTTCAACTCGGCCATTGTCTGCACTGTGATCTCGATGGGTTGTTCCCGGTCGATACGATGGCAATAGTACAAGTCAATAGCGTCGCCAGGTTCTAGTCCGAGCCGTTTGTGAGATTTGGCACACGCCTCGCGAATATACGCAGGGTCGTTGATGACTTTTGATGTTCCATCGGGTTGGCGAACGTTGGCAAATTTGGTGCACAAGAAGATCTTACTCCTGTTGCCCGTCTTCTTGAACCACCTGCAGAACGAAAAGAGGGACTGTTTAGCAGACTTGCCATACTCGTCATCTTCGAATGGGAGACCTACTGGCCGAGCAGATCCTCACTGTCTCCATACACATCCGAGGAATCCCAAAACGCCTCTCCTGACTCGAATACGTGGTCCAAAAACTTCAATCTCTGGTCATCTGGAAGCTTTTTCCCATAGAAGATGGACAAACCCATCAGACCAAAGCCCAGGGCGGTTACTTGGGGTCCATCCTTGCCCAATTGGCGGGTTGGGAGACTCGGTACCATCTTGCTCTTTGTCTTCTTGATGACAGAGTTACAAAATCTGGACTTCTTGGGTGAGATCGTTGTGCCTTTCTCTGATTCTGATTCTGAACAATAGGAAAACAGACGATAACGACGCAGGAGGAGGTTATATACTCGACGCGATGGCAGCCACTTCTGCCCCTCATGCAACGGAGTTAAGCCGACAGTTGCCGTGCTTGATCTTCTTTGTATTACCAACCTTTTCAGACCGTTGGCGACGATCGTCCACGGTCAGATTCAGACTTATCTCCAGCACATCCCCGCACAGTCTCCGACTTGATCGCTTCGGCAGCTAGAAGTCGAGACGAAGACGGGGCCAGCTGGAAGGCCTGAAGGCTTAGTTGTACTTCCTAGATCTGCCAGCCAGTGAATTTGAGCTGTACGACATTGGAGAGGCTCTCCTACAAATGGTGGACCACTCTGCAGACATGAGCAAGGTTTTTACGATATATTGACCACCGCCCAAGTCCAGCAGTGTGTTGACTCGACGCTTATGACACTCGATCTACGAGTTGTGAGACTTAGGATGTTATCGATGAATACCATGTGACAATTTGCGACAGGTGGCGGTGCAGTTCTCATCACCCTCCCACCATTCAGTCCCTTGGAGAAAGCTGAAGATGGTTTATCGAATGACAAAAGCAAACTCAAGTCTTTTGCCATTCAGTACGAGCTGCACCGGAACTTCACGGTACTTGTCAGCTCGTGTCTAGACATGGTTCAGGCAGAAAAGTTAAAAGATCAACACCCAGAAAATGTCACAGCTTCTGGCCAATTCATGACCAGGTTAACACCTTGCGTCGCCGCCATCCAATCATCCTCAGCTCCGACATGGCTTAGGTCAAGTCATGGCCTATTCATCGGCCTCTACCGCAATGACTCTTAGGTCCCCAGAACTCTCCAAGACTGACTTTTTGAATATGGAAACTCTAACCGGCGTTTTGGTGCAAAATACGCTTCAGCTGATGGTCAAAAACGGACCTTTCCATCTGGGCGACGAGAAAAAAGTCTAATGATGCATCGTATGCGCTTCTTTTCACGACCTCACTCAATTTTCAAGTTTGCGGATGCCAGACTTGACGTCTCATCAGTGACTCTATCTCGTATCTTGGCGTATCGAATAGGGCACTGACGCCCTATAGATGCCCAGGCAACAGCGGAACGGAGCTTAAAGCGTATCTGAGAAACGGTCGCTCAGAGTCTAGACTCTCCCGGCGGAAGGAATGGCCATAACCAACATCTCATTTGATCAGCCCGTCGTCGCGCAACCAGTCACCTGCTACTATCCTATGAGCGACATATACGCGCCGACTCCACGATATCTCTATTATGTCCTTCTGGCCTTGAGCTTCATCACAGCCAGCCACGGCTGGGTTGCGCATGTCATCTTTGGAGCGGCAGTATCATATGCCGCCACCGCCTCGCTCGAGGCTTTTATCCTGCTTTCCGCTCACCTTGGTCTGCCTTCACCACAGAATGTCACGGTAGCTTATCTGGATGTAGAGTACTTGACGGATGTATCGAATGACATGCGGGCTCTTGCCGCAAACACCAGATCCGTTGTTGTGCAGCCCGACTACCTGGAGCTGGATATCGACGCAGTGACTTGCATTGTGATCACGGCATATCTTGTGGGATTACCGTTGCAGTGCTGGTCAAGCACGGCGCGAACAAGTCGGATCCTCCATCTACTAATCTTCATCTGGAATATCATTATGCTTGCAGGGTCGATATCAGTCCTTGTGCTTTGGCCAGGTCTGAATCTTGCACCACCTCAATATCGCTTCTGCTACTCGGGCATTGAAGACAGCAATACTGTCCAGAATGACGGCTGGGATGATCAATACTGGGCCGGTTCCTGGAATGCGACCATCTGGGGTCTGTTTGGTCCATCTGTTCTTGACAACGAACGATGGTTGAACCTCTCGACGAATTGCTTCTATCCGTGTTTCAATACCTCACAAGTGATGCGAGAATCAACGCGGCTACGGGCGACAGTGGTCGGCACTGATGCTCCGGGGGATAGTCGGCATACTCGAAGCACTTGGGAAGGCGATGCATTCCAGCCTCTCGTATATACGGCAATTGCCCTCTTTACCGCTGCACAGCTATTTCTTCTGGTCGTCGGGCGATTGGATTTATGCACTTCAAGAGTACCCATACATCGGCCATTCGATCTCTGGTTTCGGAGGAAGGAGATTTTCAGTGGGTTTACGGGTGACATCAGGGCTGGCTATTCGAAAACAGTACAGTTTTTGCGGCATCCGACGTCGACTTTCGCACCGATAAGAAGTGTCAAACTCAACCAGGTGGCGAGGATCACGAGAGCGCACAAACATCCATTCGCCCTCTGCCTTATAGACCTCATAACGCTTTGCGTTCTTCTCGGGGCCATGGTCTTCGGTCCTTTGATCATCATTGCCTTCATCGTGTGGATTGAAAATTATATCAATACCGACGGCGAACCGAGCGAGCAGGTCAAAGCTGTGGGCCAATGGCAATTTATAGTTCAGATCGGCATTATCCTCCTCGCTGCGGTGATTATCAGGCTGCGGTATAAAGTGGCATCGGCGGAAGAGATTCAGAGGGATCTCAGGCACGCCAGGGAGCACGTCGAGAAACTGGAACGAATCGCGGAGAAGAAGAGGACGGCCAAAGGGGCAGCAGACGCAGGGCTAGGGCAGAAACGAAGTTTTCAAGGAGTCTTCCGGCGGAGGAAAAAGGCAGCGGCAAGTGAGGAAGACGCGAACAACATGGACATTTCTCCATCAGCGGAGGCTGCAGAAGATGCCTCCGGCGTATTGCGGGAGCTGAGAGACGAGAAAAAATAGTCCGTGGCATTGACGAAGGCGGCCAGAGACGCGAGTTGAGTACATTGCTAGACCATAGATTAGTTACACAAAATGCACCTTGCGTAGATGAGCACGATGAAGATGAGCCCAATGACAGCTACAATGTCAATGTCCAGGCCAACAACCAAGGATCAGCAAGCCATAACAAACTCTTCACAGTCCAAGTTAGACCGAGCAACACCAAAGAAGAATCAAAGCAAAGCAGAAGAATACTGCTCAATCCAAGGGGCTTATCTGAAGGTCGCCTGTGCACGTAATCAAATGGCTATTGTATATAGTTTTCCAATCAGTCAGATTCCAATGACGGAGCCTGTCACTGAACTCTAGACGTTCTTGTTCACACTCCAAAGACTCGATGGTCTCCTTTATCACAGTTTTAAGGTCGTCTTTCCGAGTTGTAAACTCATCCAATGGCACCCAACCCTCTTCAGCAACTGGGATATTCCTGGCCTTTAAGAGGTCTTGGAATTCATTGTAACGCCGTCCATCTTTCTGGTGGCTCGTCAACTCGTCGCCCTCGATATTGATAGGGCATTCCACAGCATCATCTCCATCGCGAAGGAAGCCAGACCAATTGCGCTGAACTCGAAGGAGAGTCTCCCTTAGGAAAAGGGCCTCAACGTCTTGTCTGAAAGGGATTCGGGCGAATAATTCAACCTGCTTTCGAATGGGGGTTAATTGTTCGTCCTCCAACAAAGCAGCAAGATCGGAAACAGTCTCCCTAAGATCGGCTAGGTAATACTGCTGAAGCATCGATTGGCGGTACCTCTCCCAAACCTCAAGCCTTTTTCCTTCAGCCATCTCTGAGAAATTGTCTGGGAGTTCCAGAAGAATTGCATCGCGTTCCACATCGATAATCTGGGGTATTCGAACTGCCAGGAACAACGGTAAGACATCGGTGCCCTGCCAATCGACAATGCAGGTAATCTTTCCTTCCGGAGACACAAATAAATTGCCAAAGTGAAGATCTTTATGCCACACTAGCGGCAGATGTTGGGCTGTGGAGTGTGGAAGAATATGTGGTATTACCATGCAAAGTGTTCTGAGCATATCAGACAGTGCTGTAGCCGACGTGTTGCTTGCTGTGTTTATCGGGAAGGAGAACGCTCGCTCAGCGGTCATATCTTTACTTTGGTTCATCTCAATTTGTACCAGTGACGAGTGTGCGACGGAAACGAGATAATCTTGTGGAGTACGCCCTGACTGGTTAGTAACCAAACAACCGTGAATCCGCCACAGGGACTTACAAGGGCCACAATTCACCCCGGAGGCTATAAGGGCTGATCCAATAAAATGTTGATGTGCCAATGGACCGATGCAATACGTTGGGGTAGAGGTCGATGTGACTGGGAAATGCTGAGAAAACCCAAGTTTTACAGCATCATCAAGAAAGTACAGACTCCCATACCCAGTGAACATATGCTTGGTGGTAGCAAGCCGCTTTTGAATAGATAGGACTTCATCCACGACAGCGAGTTTCTCTGGTATTTCAAGGCGGGGCCATACGGTGTTTAAAGCTCTCCCTTGAGCCTCTTCCATGATGATGTATTCGCAACCGACTGGATTGTCACAGTCGTCGCTCCATGAAAACACCTTAGGCACCGGTACTTCCAACTCGGACCGTAAGAATGTAAGTGTGGCAACTTCACTTGCCGTGACCAGCCGTGGCGAGACAACCGGGTCAGGGATCTTAACGATAAATCGCTGCTCCCCAACAACAGCGAGGAAGACTTTGTTGGAAGCGCCTTCCGCAAGTTTCTCAAATCGAACAGTAATATTAGCTGTTGATCCTGCTGCCTGTATTATGATATGTTCGAGAGCTCTGAGGTCGAATTTCCGTGTGTGTGCTAGTCGCTGTCGACGCTCGTTCCACAACCAGCGACCCGTAGTTGGGAAGAACAGATCCGAGGCAAGGGTAGAATTGAACCGAGTCCGTTGCAACTGACGAAAGATATGTCTTATCGGCATCACAGACGACAGTTTTCTCCTTGAAATGCCATTGGGCTGTAGTGGCCGACCAAGTAAATTGATCACTGTGCAAAATCTGCGAAAGATTGTCAGTACTTGAGGTTGACGCATCTCATGTTTTGGTTTGACGCTGTTTACGGAGTTGCGCTGGCTTGAAAAGGGTTAACCTCCGCTGGCCATCCAAGGCCGACTGGTGGCATCCCTTCAGCCTCATTGCTACAAGGCGACCTTGTGGCCACAGGCGGCCCCCGTGCAGGGGAGGAAGGTCTACCGGTACTTGGCGCCTTAGTAGAGTGTGCAGCAGAATGTCAAGCTCGCACTCGCTGCCTTAAAAATCTCGGTCTCGAACGGTGCCAGATGAGAGCTTGTCCTTCCTTTGTCAGGGCTTGACCTGACGGGGCGCTGGTTCACTGATTTCTCGGTGAGCGGCTTAGGTCGGTGTATCTTGGCAAATCCAAAGTTGTGCCACAGTTGACCTAGTGTCGACGTGTGGCTGTGCAAATCAGAAATCTCGCCTCTTTATTGGAGGTTTCATTATCCAATCAGCAGCACGTCACTAGTCAAATATAGTTAGCGACTCTGAACGACTGGAGCGACTTTTAAGGTCCTCATTTTGGCCTTGGCATTCGAGGGACGTAGTCGAGGGGCTATGATTCTCAAGCAATACTCGGTAATATCAATCATTTTTCAATCCTCAAATACTATCAATAACGAGTGTAATGGGGTAGGGTCCCTGTGTTGCAAGGATTGGAACGGGTCGGAAGCATCATTTCACCAGCAGACTCCTCGATCAACACATCAATGATCAACCACTGCCTAGTTCCTCCCCTTCACCTTCGGCTGGGTCAATGCCACAACAATGACCGGTAACACGCTGACAATTTCGCCGAGACCTGCATAAGCTGGCGGAATGCGCACCTTCACAAAGGCCCCGGCTGCGAGTAAGATGGCAAGCATATTGTATGCTGCTGACCAGACGAAGTTGAAAACGATGCGTCGGAATGCGGCTTTGGACACATCCAACAAATTGACCACGCCGTCGAGATTGCGGAGAAGAATAACATCTGCCGTTGCACGCGTGACATCTGAGGAAGATTCAATTTGGACCCCGACATTCGCTTGAGCCACGGCGACCGCGTCATTCGTCCCATCCCCACAGAAAAGGGTGATCTTTCCGGCATCCATGAGTCGACGCACATACTCCTGCTTCTGTGCCGGCGTCTGTTCGGCAGCAATATTGTCCAGAGGAATACTCAAGTCTGCTGCCACGCCCTCCACGACACGGCGGCCATCGCCACTTACGATGTGAACAGTGATCTGACGTTGGTAGAGCTCTTGGATGGTGCCTACAGCTCCTTCACGGACTTGAGACTTCAACCCAAAAACTGCAGCCAGTTGGCCGTCGACCGTGACACCAAAGACTGTCAATCCTTCTGCTGTGACTTCAGCGACCTCAGGTGTCTCGCCGATCTCTAGCCACTTTGTATTCCCAGCTCGGACTGTCAATCCTTGCCATTGTGCTTGGAGCCCGCAACCAGGAATGGACATGACTCCGTCCAATTCTGTGTAGCCTACACCCCGGGCATCTAGTGTCTGTGCAACAGCTTCGGACACAGGATGTTTGTTGCTCCTCACCATCTTCATGATCACGGGGAGCAGGGTGTCGCGATCAAGTTTCTCCGTGGGGCAGGTCAGTTCTTTCACAACTTGGAGTCGTGGCTCAGTGAGCGTTCCAGTCTTATCAAATATCACATCGGTGACCCTGAAGCCGCGTTGGATGACATCCGCCGTCTTGATGATGACACCTCCCCGTGCAGCTACTCCCCCAGCGACAACGAGGACCATCGGAACCGCCAGCCCAAGCGCACAGGGGCAGCTAATGGCTAGAACCGCAATGGCATAGCCGATAGCAGTTCCGATGGCGCCTCCGGCAGACCGTTGATGAATCCTCAGACCAACCAGGATCCAGACAATGAGGACAACAAGAGCCACGGTGCACACGACAGGAACAAAATATCCTGCTACCTTATCGGCCAAGTCTTGGACACGTGGTTTGAAGCTCTGGGCCTGTTCGACCAGGTTGGCAATATCTGTGATGGTATTCCTCCCTGGTAAGCGAGATACCCGTGCTGTCAACCTTCCGCCGCCGTTGATAGTGCCCGACACAACATAATCCCCGATGGTCTTGGACACGGGCATACTTTCGCCTGTTAGCATTGACTCGTCCACCTCACTCGCCCCTCCTAGCACATCAGCGTCGGTGACGATCCGAGAATGCGGCAGTATTGAGATTCTATCTCCATATTGAAGTAATCGGGCATCAATCTCTAGGGCGTGCTCTGTGATTGGGTCGATAAGCAGTGCTGTTGAAGTTTGAAGAGATCTTAATGACACAGCCTGCACTGCTCGTTTCCGAGCCCAAGCCGCCAGGAGACGACCCAGCAGGATCAACGTGACCAACAGAGTACTCGTCTCGAAAAACGGTTTTGTCTCCAGATCAATGCCGGCGAAGAAGAAACCGGCCGCAATAATGGAATAGCCATATGCGGCTGTAATGCTGATGACAACAAGCATGTCCATTTCGACCACTTTGTTGTATATCAAGGCCGACATTGCAGGAATATAAAACTCTGAAATCGCAATTGCTTGGACCATCGTGGCCAGGATCACTGCCACTATCAAAGTGGTATGTTCGGACACGCCTGAAGGGCGGCCCCATTCCAGCACAACAACGGGCGTTGTCAAGATGAATGCTGTTGTGGTCAGAGCAGTGATTCGGATGAGCCTCCGCTTCCCTTCGTCAAGGTAGGAGTTGCTGCGGGGAGGACCAAGTTGACCATCAGCACCAGCCAGCAACGCCCTCGCACCTATGATGCAGGGGTCGTAGCTGATCTCATACGTTGTCTTTGAAAGCCTGTCGCATCGTTCGACGCCAGGTGGTAGGTTGTTGCAAAATATGCTTGCGCTTGTGGCACTCATAACGACGTCAATGATCTGGGTGTCGGAGGAGAATCGTGCGAGCTTATAACCAGTTGCTCTTTGGGCGCTGCGGATCACGTTGTCCAAGGTATTGACTTCGGCGTCGAGACAAAATTCAGCGGTTCCGCTGATGAAGGTGACCTTGACATCCCTCGTACCACCAGCAGCTCGTAGTGCTCGCGTCAAGTTGTTCGCGCAGCCAGAGCAATCCATTCCAGTGACGCTAAGAAGGATATGCGACAGTCCTGCTGCCTTTTCAACATCCTCTAAAGCCTGTTTGGGCACGATCCCATGCTCGCAGTCAACATGATCAATGCTCTCAGGGCTTCCGCAGCATTTTGCCTCGGCTCCTGTTCTGACTATGTCGTCTGGCATCCTTTTGAACTGTCGGCGAGACAAAGCAGACCAGTGCTCTCTCACGTTGAGATGATGGCTACGAGTGGCAGTGACCGCAGATGCGTCACCAGCGGCAGTATATGGGCGACATGTTTCAATTCGTCTGGCAGAAGAGAGGATACTCCGACAGATGCACTGAGCGGACTCCAGGTATGTGGCATATTTCTCCATGGCTGCTTTCAAATGGAAGTGGCAGGGCTCATCCAGGTGGGTGCCATCCTCTCCATGCGCATGTTCATGAGCTTCGCCGCCGTGGACATGCTCGCTCGTTCTGATCTCTTCGCAATGACTAGGGGCTTCACGGTGAGTGTGGTCGCAGCCAGTGTGGCATGTGGTCTTCTCGTCTAGCTCGTTGCTATCCATATCCCCAGACCGTTCATTCCGGTGTTTGGTGCATACCAGGGAGCACTCGATCGCAGCGGCCGTTTTGATACAATTTTCTCCCAACCCATCAGCAAGTTGAAGTTCAATGTGAGATGCTGCATTTCTTACCGTTGCATCTATCATCCTCATTGCACTGGGTCATATTGCTTTCTGGTGCGTTTGCTGCTGGGCTTGCCCCATTACAGCATGAAACATCTTGATGAGGCCAATCCGAAGCGCTTGCCACTGGACCACCGCAGCAGTCACTGCATCCACCGACAGGGTTGCCAGTACACAGCGCACTCATATTGCTTCGTCCACGGTATGTCAGATCTCGCGAGTAGGAGTTGATAAAGTGGAATGAAATGGGAGATTCTTTGGTGACGTTGATCAAAAGCCTCATCACCGCTTCCGCTATTTGCGTTGGTCACAAGGAAACCTGCATGGGAAACTTGGATCTAGACCCGACTCGGCAATTTCACCCGCAACCTGCATTTCTTACTTGGCGTGCCCATGAAAACTGCTGCCTTGTTGATTGCTCCAATGGGTTGCGATGTGACATGTCGAATGTCCGGAAGTCGAATATGTCGCGTTCGCGGTGCCGATGGTCAGGAGATGAGACCAAGGCCAAGCGTTCGAGGTGTTTTTCATTTTCCTATATCTCGAACAGATAATGAGCACAAGTTACCAGATGTGCTGGGATCCTCGGTGCACTGGTCAGGAGTCTTCCTGATGATTTGCCATGTATCTACAGTCTCTGGCTACATTAGCTATGGTATCTGTTGGAAGAGCAAATGCCCTCATGTTCGGGACTGGCTTCCAGCCCGTGACATGGCAGTTTCTCGAACAATGCCCTCTCGATCCTAGACCACCTGCAGCATATACATCTATCATATCATCCTGCATTGTCTTTCTAGCATTTCTTCCCTGAATTATTCAATGTTGTCCTTTGGATCCGTCCTTCGAGGACGATTTCGCGACAAAGACAAGGCTCAGCAACAGGCCGAGACCAGCTAGCCCAACCGCAAACCAAAGAGCACCGCGGTAGCCGAAAAGCATGTCGGCGCCGGTCAACCCGCCATGATTGATGTTTGTTTCGATCGTGCCGGCAAAGCCGAGACCAAGCGATACGCTGTAATTGACCACAATCATGACTATACACGCGCCCATACCCCGGTATCGTTGAGGGACGGCGTTGGAGAAGATGATCGTGGCCGAGGGGAACGAGGTATCCATGCCGACGGTGATGATGAGGACGCTGAAGAAGTAGTAGGTCCAGTATGTCGAATGCACAGGTCGCGCCGCTGCGAGGATGGAGCCGACCACATGGGCGACTTGTCCGACGACCATGATCCACGAGGCAGGGACTTTGCCGAGCAACTTGCCCACCGCGAGGGCTGAGGTCAGACCGGACGGGATCACCGGTATGAACCAGGCTGCCATCTGGAGAGGCGTGTTGCCTCCAACGTCGAGAGCGACCTGTCCGATATAGAAGACCTGCAAGTAGGAGTGTTAACCAACTTGCCCATTTGTGCTAGACTTGAGATTGGGGATTAGAGACGAGAAAAAAAAAAAAAAAAAAAACACCGACCCATATGCCAAAACACGCCCAGCCTGTTGCCGTACACGCAAAGACAAAAGCAATGTCGGGATTGAACGCCGCGAGGGGGAGGATCGGAGACTTTGCATGATAGATCTCGACCCTGAAGAAGGCCGCTGCGAACAAGAGCCCGAGCACCAGACAAACGCCGACGTACGGCTCCTGCCAGCCGACGACAAAGAGGTTCTTGTTGCCGAACTCGTCGCCCAGTCAGCCGCCGATGAGGATGAAGGTGCCAATCGTCAGACCTGGTAGCCCGCAATCAACCAGGACCGTTGGCCAGGGTTGGTGATGCCGAACGAGTCGCCAATCACGCCGACGGTGGTGAGGTTGTTGCCCATTCCGACCTGGGTTGGTGAACATGGCCGTGCAAAGCATGCCGATGAGGAAGATCTGTCGTAGCAGCGAGAGCGTGTCGGCTGGGTACACGGCTCCCGGTTTCTCAGGGGGTTCGTTATGTTCAGCATCTTCTTGCTGGTGTCAGCCGGAGCCAATGCATCGAGGAGATGTTTATGGGATCTCTTACCTTTGCACAATATTGTTGTCTGGGATGGCGTATCTGGGTCGGAGTGTGTGGTCTGGCTCAATGCAGGGGTGGAAGACTATGGTACAGGACACGGCGCTTCGTTACTGGGGTGAGTTTCTGACGGCAGACGGCAGATAATACAAGAGAGGATGTATGACCGACGAACAAGCATTCATGACTGCGAATGATCTGGACAGGACAGGCTCTCATACTCGGCCATCCCACACTGCGGTGACGATATCAAACGCAAAGTCGACGTGGTACAGTACCATGAATTGTCATCAACTGGGGATCCAATGCCCACACACGGGACACAATGGATACAACTTACCATAGTTGGTCTACGTTCATCCCCTCTACACCTATTCTACCTTGACACACCCAGTTCGAACACATCCATGTCCACCTACTCAGGACCTGCTGAGTGATACAAGCGCCGAGTGGATTCCCTACCGCGCGCCTTGAATACTTTACACTGATCCACTCTTCGATCTACCGATTGATCCACTTTGTACATCGCGCGGCATGTGGATCTTGGACTTCTACGGGGTATAATCTCTTTCCTTTCACTTTCTTCTTACTTTATAATCATGTTTACTGGTTTGACTTTGGGAGCCGTTCAGGCCAGAATAGTCTCGTGATGACCGACGGCATGCAGTGTATACTTTAACAAACCGATTCTTTGTGAGGCATACATACCGTACTCTGAGATGACTCGCTGCTCCCTGGGACTCGATCTTCTCGACGCCTTTGGACGCTGTCGTGTGCGTGTGTCGCGGCGCAGCAGGCCGTGGGCGGGTGGACGGCGTTGCCCAGAGAAAAGGGCCCAACCAAGAAGACGTTCATATACACGGGCAATATCCTCGACGTGAGCGTCGTGCCGTCGCCGATGATGATGACCCTGGGGATGGGCCAGGCCGCGTCGGCGTCCTGGGTCGGGTTGGCTACAAATCCCCCGTCGAGCTTTAAACCGAGCAATGTATCCGATCTAGTTGGTCCAGCCGACTCGGCCATGCTCATTCCCATCCCCTCGAACGCATGTCCCGTCTAGACAAGCACCACCACCTTCCCCTGTCGCCCAAAACAAGCAGCTAAATCCCTCGGCGCCAGTCCATCCCCTGCCTCTCTTCTCCGCCACACGCCCTCCATGATCCCCAGCGCCTTGTATACGGTCCCAAACACGCTCGGCGGCTGAAGCGGCTCGACCAGTTCGCGTAGACGGGCGTGGTGCTCAAGTGACTATGCGAGACAGCCGGTCACGCTTAACGGCAAGACCATGGTGCGCAGCAAGGCGGGCGGGAACACGGACGGAGACGGATATGGGCCCGTGTGGTGGTTGCGGCGTCAATAGAATCAGGAGCAGCTCCATGCCATGATCCGCGAGACGTGGTGCCGTATGTCGCTGCTCGAGGGTTGCCAGCCGGAGAGGACGACGGAGAGGTACGCCGGTGCGGCGTGGGCCCAAATCCGGGTGTTTAGGGCCGTCTGCACCGATATTGTTTGTGCGGCTGCTTCGTCGCGGTGGTACGGGTATGCTGGGAATAAGAAATCCAATGGCAGTGGACCGCGACCAGAGGCTCTCTTTGAGGCGCCAGAGGCAGTGGTGATATTGTTGGCAGCGGCCTCGAGCCGAGTGACGCGTGTCACCAACACGTCCATCACGGGCGTGGCACGACTCACAAGCTCCACGACGTCGAGGTCACCGGCCCTCGTGCGCTCTTGTTTCCACGCGTCGAGCGCGGCGATCTCGCTGATCGGGAGGAGCACCCAGTTCTGACATCCGCAGAGAGGTTCGAGGTCGATGGGAGGGTCGCCTCCGTCAGTGTCGCTTAGAAGACCGCGGTGGTACTCGTAGAGGGCTGGTTTCTCCTGCAATGTCGTACTGGCGAAGATGTCGTCCAACATTACCAGCCCCGGCTGAGAACTTGCAAGCCCCCTGCTCGGCGCTTGGGACTTGGACGCACTGCGAGGGCAGTCTCCACGAAGACGTGCCCAGACGGCTCATGACGGCATCGAAGTTGGAGGGTGTCCCAGTGGCACTGTCGAGGACACGGCGGAAGAGAGCGACAGCTGCGGTGCGGTGTGCGTGGTAATTCTCGAAGCTGGACACAGAGAAATCTCGAATCTCTGGAGGAGCTGCACAACCCCGGCGAGGATACGCACCACTTCACACAGATCCATGTCCGTGTCGGTGTCGTCTATCCGCCCATCCAGCGCCTGCAGGGACCGTCTCAGCGTCTCAAAGGCGTCTTTGCTCTGCGCGAGCAGCCCTCTCCCACCACACATGGCAATTGCCCGTGCGCCCGGCGCCAGCGAGAAGAAATACGAGTTCTGGCACAGCGCCATCTGCCGCACCACGGGGCTGGTCATCATGACATCGAGGGTCCACGACCTGCCACCCTGGGCAAGGGGGGGCCGGTAGAAGGGGAACAGAAACGGCATGAGATTGTCGAGATAGGACATGAACGGGCATGCGTTGGGCCATCCAGCGCCGGGAATGATTCCGCTTTCGCGCCCGCCTGGACCGTCAAGGACGACCAAGGGACACAACGGTGTGAGAGATCCATTTCACCGGTTGCTGCTGCTCAATAGCTCCGTAGTCGTCTGTGTACGAAACGCTATCCACAGATAGGACATCAGATGCCGGCGTGGCTAGATACTCTCCCGGTGCTGGTCCTGGACAAGACGTCGCTAGCATTCCGTCTGAGATGAGAGCACGGTAGATCCCGAGCCCCTGTCGTCAGAGTTCCTGCTCGCGCGCTCCATTCGGCGGCGAGCGTGAGAGCGAGCACCCTGCTCTCTGATCTCTGGCGCTCAATCCGCCTCGCCATCTTCTGCTGTCCGGTCCCGCGGTCCATCCACGCGGGCTTCTCCTCGCTGTAGTGGCATGTGATGCGGAGCGTCGCGCAGGCCTCGCAGACCGGGTGATGTTTGTCACATTCTTTTTTACGTCGGAGGCGGCAGGTCCAGCAGCCGTCGGCACTCCTCATTCTGTCTCTTTTTCCTTTTGCGCCAAAATGATAAAACAACGAAAGGAGCAGTCGATGGTTGGTGTACAAGGATAAAGGGGTAGTTGTCCTCAAGGGTCTGTTTGTTAATCCAAAAAATCCTTTACATCTCATCCTCCTCTTACCGTCTGGCGTCTTCATCGCCCGGAGCTTTCGAACCTCCGCTGGCGCCGCACATCATACGTGGTACTCGGTACTTAGTAGTCAGGCCCACGATACCGCGCGGCACGTGGGACCCCGCCAGGACCCACTCAGGCATCCCATTAAGGCAGTAACAACCAAAAGTGGGCAAGTCCCGCAAGGCGAGGCGAGAACGATAATCTACAGAGAGCTGGTATGCTAGGTAGGTAGGACATACTCTACGAATTGGTTCATTTCTCTCTACATAGCCAGCCTTTAGAGTCTTAGCGCGAGAGATTGAGCCGCTCCTTGTATCAATTTTCACCCACAATGTCTCGTGTCGGCTCGCTAGGACTTCCTGGCTTTATGGTGCCTTGGAAGCGTGGATGTCGCCTTCATTAAATCGGCTTCTCCTTTTAATATGCGCGGATAGTAAGCCTGCTATACCGGGGGCGATGTCTTTCCTATCTCCACGAAAAGGTTCAGGTCTTTGAGAAAGAAAACCCAGTTGCAGTAGGATACGCCCATCTTCTTACTTCCGCCAAATAGTCTCGATATAGAAGCAGACTCGTACCGGACGGCAACATCCTTCTCAGGGTCCGTCGGGTTACGTCGCTGAATATCGCCTTGTAGTCTTGGAGGCGGAGCTCCTATGATAACGCACGTGGTTAAAGCCAGGCCAGACATAGAGATAGTGTTATTCCTGGTAGACGCTCACCTCGAACGATATGCCTTCGAATCCTTCGCGACGATACGCAGCAAGGCACTGGAGCATGTCATTACTCCCAAAAGGTGAGATTGCATCAAGCCAAAAGTCTCGTCCGTGATCCAGGCGGTCTTTGAGAGAAAATATTCCGTCGACGAATGAGATATCGCCTGTCCTAGGGGGTGGAAGCTCGATTGTCTGCACGTCGAATTCTATTGGACCTGACGAGCGCCTGCCTGAGCATTCAGTATCAAGAACGTAATGGATGTTGGTATGATAAAAACCCAACTTACCAAGGATGCCACCGCTTGGACTGAAGCCTGCTGGTTTCTCTGAAGGCTTACCAGAGCTGAAACCGCTAAAGCCAGACGTTCTTGTACTGGGGTCAGACGACGATCCTGCGCTGGGAGAGATTGTAGGCGCCGCTCCAAACAAGTTAGAAGAACTACTTGAGAGGAATACATTCGACTTCCCGGGGTCGGGAGTTCCGAAAGCCTGCTTGCTTGACTGAACCGGTGTAAATAATAGTGAAGACTTCGGCTGAGGGCCCGGACTCGTCGGCCTCGGTGAGCTTGACTTGGTTCCCGTAGCCGGTACCACCAATGCACTGCTGCTTAGCTGTTGACTCAATGGTGCTGCAGGTTTAGGCGCTGCGGCGGTATTAAATACTGGAGGCATTGTAGTAGGAGTAGGTGGTAGAGGCATGGTGGCAGGACTAACCGGTGGAAGCGCTGCTGTAGAATTGAGTGCTGGAGCTGCTGTTGCATGAATAACTGGTGGAGACGCTGTAGTAAGACTGGCTGATGGTAGATGTTGCTGCTCTGTACGTGGAGATGAAGCTCTTGCGGTGTTTCCTATGATAGGCATCGTATTGCCAGCGGCGGATGCTCGCTTCAGGTCAAGACCAAACTCTCGGCTTGCATGCCTGCGACAGTTCTTCAGAGCCGTGTCGAGCGTCTTCAGCCGCGTTGTAAGGTCGGTGCGTTCGCTAATCATCTCGGGCGTCTCACCTCCAAGCAGCTGTAGTTTATCCTCTTTCATTTGTGCCACAGTCTCCGGTGAGAACATCTCCTCCAGTTTTGACAGGAGGCACGACTCAACCCCAAGCATGACCACATTTTCGACGAATGTCTCGAGCGCAACATCATAGTAGGCCTTTGATATCTGCAGTATTGCCAAGCATGGCTCTTTCTCCTGGCCAGGACCTCTAACCATACGGTGGGAAGAGACTGAGTACTTGCTTGCCGTACCATCACCATCTACACTTGTTCCGTCGATTGTCTGGACACGGTTTAAGCTTATTCTCAATCGAGCTCTTGTCGAGTAAAGAAAAGAAACCGTATATGGGTTGAACAACTCCCAAACTTTCTCATTCAGCTTCTGTTGATGGCTGTGAATCGCATCCTGAAAGACTTCGCGGAGTATCAACTCGCCAATACGCGACGTGGAGGGACAAATTGAGTCCACAACCTTTCGCAGAAAGATTTCAACCGCATGGCAAATGTCCTCAGTATACTTGGCTGAGATCTTGGGCCATTTCTGTGACTGTTCCTTGAAAAGTTCTCCCACCAATCGTGGGTTGAAAAGTAGCGGTAACTCTGGACCGCGATAACCCTCTATAAGCTTCCCAACTTTGGCAAGAGCATCGGCCTTTGTGATGAATCGAGGTTCGTCGGGCTCAGCTGGCATCGATGAACCAAATGCAAAATCTCTGACTTCGAATGTGTGGCCCCTTGCGCGCATTGTGTCTTCAAACTCATCGGTAAGAGCCATTGTTTTTGCGCGCAGCCTTTTTGCGGCATCAGTCTTGTCGAAGAAGGTGTCGGAGTAGTCGCCATTGAGAGCGTCTCGGACAATCTGCGCATAGCGCCTGCTGATGCGGATGAGGTATTGCCGACGTTCGTCGGGTGTTGCTCGATGAGGCCCGAGCTCCTGGAGGGACAGCTTCACCGAAGCAATCTTAACCTCCAAAGACTTGATGAGCTCCGGCAATACGTGCAGAATATGTTCCTCCAGGTACTCACATAGGACGGCTCGTAGAGATCTTGTCCCGAGTCTCCGCCTGTCAAAGCCGTCCCAGGGATCTTGTAAGAACAGGTCCGTCTCAATGCTATCCCTGTCTGCACCCCTCTGTCGCTCATCATCAGTGAGACATCTCATTATTTGCCACTCGCGTTTGAATTTGAAGGCAGCATGTTGATTTCGTGCAAGCTCGAGGACGGTGGGAGCAAGCCTCGCTTTTTCTGGACGCCGCAGAATGTCTGGCTTGGTAATAACCCCAATGCTACGCTCGCCCGAGGGATCAAACTGTCGGGACAAGGTAAGGATTCCTTGGTTTTCAATGGGATTTTCGGCGGAGACAGTCGTCATTATCAAGCTCTCTTTCTGCTGGAAATAGTACTTGACAAGATCTTGCACTTTTGTAATGTCGTCCAAGTTTGTAGCTGAGTGAATGAGACCTGGCAGGTCCACCAAAGTAAGATTTGGTAGCGGTCGCCCGCTGAGCTTCAAATGTAACACATCGCGGCTGATGCCTCCGGCCTCATCAACTCCCATGACTTTCTGCGCCTCTCGCAGGATCTCCGGAATTGTGTCAAGATTGGCTGAGACTGTCATTCGGAATGCTCCAACACGAACTCGGTGTTCGTCAGAAGAACGTGATCCAGGGGTGATAAAAGCCTCGCCTGTTACGGTCTCCTCCGAGGAATACCGCAGGGCAATCTCCGTCGCAAATCTTGTGCACATGGTGCTGTCAACCGGAAATGGAATCCCTGACAGTGCTTCGAGGACAGAAGATTTGCCGCTACTCGTGTCGCCGCACACGACGATCTGTGGCAGGTTGACGAGGCCATGTTGACGAAATTTGTCAATGTCGTTCAGAAGCTCTAGTCTGTCTTGCGATTGAAACAGAGCAATTGTACTTTTGCTGATGTCTATCGCCATGGGTCAGTGTCGCTGTAAGTGGAATTCCATCAGTGGCAGAGAGCGCCTTCCCGCGCACATACGAGGCATGCTTTCATATATCTTCGAGGTCCTCGCTTGAGCGTGAACCCATTAGGCACGGATATCTGCCGGTGGCTGGCCAAGCTATTGTGATGATGTAGCATTGTGGCGTTGGTGGCTGGTTTCATCTGCGTCGTGTAGTCCCTGTCCCGAAACACTTGTAGACGACGCGAACAAGGGGCGCTCGGTATTCTTCAACGCTTGAAAGTGGAGTTGCAGCCGCCGACATAGCCATCAGGGGTATCGCATTTATGGGTTTGGTTAGGAGCAGCGAGAGAAGTAGCTATCCTCAGCAGCGAGCTAACATCAAGTTACACTGTAATGTGATTTATTGCAGGGAATCTTTGCGGATCATACCTAGTACTTTTAGGTGACCTCACACGAGTCTCGCGAAGTTCTAGTTCCGGGTGGGATCCCATCCGTGTCTCACACCCTGGTTCCCTAGGCGTGGGGGCCTGGTATAGTAGCCTCCTAGACAAAGCGCTCGGGGCGCCGGCACGGGTAATGCTTTGTATACTCGGTAACCCTAGAGCAATGCATAACTCTGGACCTTGCCCTTGTTGCCAGTCGAAGTGTTGGGGCTGCCTTGATAAGTGTAGCGGCATTGCCGTCCTCAGACGACGATTAGTAGAGCGACTTGCTTGGTGGCTTCTCTTCAGGGGGCACTTGTTTCGGCCCTCAGGCCGACTCTACCATTAGGTTACCATGCCACGCAAAAGAGACCATTGTCGCTGGATTTATCGTTCCTCAATCCCTTTGAATGGCGCAGAACTGAGAAGAGCCGGGTTTTGACGTTGGCAGCAAAGAACAAGGCCACATGCTCCAGTGTCACAATCCCAATCCTCTCAATCCCTTGGTCCCTGACTTATTAGGTCGTCCAGTAAACGTCGGATGAACTCCAGACACAGATATGGCCAAGTTTTTGGTCCTGCCTGTGCACGTCTCTCATGTCGATCATCAAATCAGGGGTCGCTTCCCACCTGCGCAGTGGTGAAAGAAGTAGGTCTCGGCCTGTGCCGTGGAAGTAAAGAGTGCTCTGAGCAAGGATGCTCAGAGAGACCTTGTCCTGCGTTGTCCACTGCGTGGGGGAAATCGAAGGCTGAAATATTGTCATCCAATCCGAGCCTGATTGACGCTCCTTGTTGCGAGATAACCTTGTTGAATCCATCATCGCTGACTGATCTCCCTGCAAGAAGATGGGGCTCCGAGGCCTGAAAGCCGTCCCTAGTCAAGTCTTGTTCTGTGTCGACTATATCGGGAATCGAGTCAACAACATCCCTAGAGGCACTGGAACCGGAGTGGAGAGCTGTGTCTCCTCATCCTCAGGGGGTTGTCTTGCATTCTGACTTTTCAGCCTGCGACCGCGCCTCCTCAGACCACCATCATATTGACATGAATGGCCATATTCTGCTCAATCATCAAAGGGCCGATCTCAGCACCAATCATGCTGACCAGCGGTTCCTGAAACTCTCTGGCCTTCAGGCAAATGGAAGGCTTCATTTCAACCAGATTCGGATAGAAAGTGCAGAGAGCTGCGGGGTTGGAGCCGACTGCCTGGCAGGGGTTCGGGGAATTCCAGTATGAGTAGTAGATTGTATCCGGTTCGGGAGGATTTGGGGGTCGTAACCAAATTCTTGAGCTGCAGTGGAACGACATGGGGTTTGAATCGATCTCAGGACCGAAATCAGCCTCAATATACCAATTTCGGGCATATATCCCCAAGAAGGCCCAGGGCACGAGTGCACCAGCAATAGCTGCGGACTTCGAGGAACCCATTGAAGGAAACAAAGAATGTCCAGAGGATTCGGTCGAGTGTTCGTCATCCAGTTTATCCGTGTGCCTGTTCGATGAGGTTTCTGTCGAATTTCCAGGAGAGACGTAAACCAGGTCTTGCCAGTTCTCAGAAGCACTTTCATCCAGTCCACAAAGCATTGAGACTTCTGCGAATAACCGTGGGTAGTACCATGGGAGGCGCAGTTCTATTTACCCAAAATCCCATGGTACACGGCCTGCCACCATTTTTGTGCTGGGCCAACAGTTGGTAGCTGCGACACCGCTTGAAAGCCCTATGCTCGAGGAGATCACCTAGTCTTCTCTCTGCGCCTGGACTTGGGCTTTGGGCCTTTGTGGCCAAAAGAAATCATAATCAAGCCAGCGCCCGGGGATGGTCCTGACTCCCTCATAAACAGGGCTATCTCGACTGACTGCTTCCTCATCAAGATCACCATACTCAAAGAGCAGATCATCGGGGGGATGTATTGCGGCATTGGGGGCCAGGATCGTAGACTTCTGCAGGATTTGTTTCGCCGTCTGCACATTCTCTTCCAGGTCTGATTCCGAGATGGTTCCGGGGATGGTAGTGTCATTGAGGCCATTCTGACTTGCCTTTTTATTGAAAAGCGCAAGGCAACCGATACCAGACTATCGCCTTGGTCCTGAACTGATCCTGCGGCTTCCTGACATACAGCTCGCAGCTCTGGCAGCGCAGGGTGCCAATTTACCAGCACGCCAACGGGGACTCTGACATTCCTGAGCAGTCCGATCGTGAGTGAACTAGAATTGCAGACAGCTTTGACTCCTGCTAATCGAAACGCGTTTAGACCTCCTTTCCCAAGCCAAGTGTTCTGCAGTGTAAGCTGGCCCTAGATCTGCACGACGTCGACGGCACGGCCGAATCTTGCAAGTGCTCGTGATGCGACTGCTCCGAGGATGTCAATATCAGTACCTGAAATTTCCACGCAACGGATGACGCCCGAATTGGACAGTTCATAAAGCGTTTCCACAACTTGAAGAGTCTCTTCGAAGTTGACAAACTCAACATCTTGGCAGGATACCACATCGAGGTAACTTGTGGCGAACCGTTTGAGCGACCGCGCCACAGATTTTCTGATCCATTCAGGGGAATAGTCGGAATAGTCCTCGCAAATTCTTCCAGCTTTGGTCATCAGAGTGTAGGCGCTTCTCTTGCATAAGGATGTAACCTCAGAATGGCGCAACGCTGCACCGATCATCTGTTTGGAAGGTTCGTAATAGGGGAAGCTGTCGATTGCTCTCAACCCGAGGTCAAATGCTGTTTCGATGGTGCGGTGGATTTGTAGGGTTTCAGGCCGAGAATGGAGTTGGTAGCTGAAGCCTGCTCCTCTCATAACGAGAGGCGAGAGGCGACAGCCTTGCCAGTATATGATCAGGTGTACGGAGAGAGTCATCCATGGAAAGCACAGTTGTATGGCGTTGCGTCGAGAGGCTGAGATGTGTTGAGACAGCGCGGAGAGGGCGTCATTGCTGGCCTCGTACAGCCAAAACAGATGGCTGCCATGGCGAAATCGTGTCCGTGCTACCTTTCGAGGCCTCCTTACTAGACCTTCTGGTTAGAGTGGAACGAATAAGTCGAACATGTCGAGGCAGTTGTCGTCGAAGTACGGATATTCTTCCGTTACGATGGGGCATATGGGGAGAAGAGCCCAAGCGAAGAGGTACCTCGATGGTAGGATCGTTTGCAGAGTAGGAGTATGGAGACGATGCTAGCACCCAAGTTATCCCCATCCAGAGATCATTCACCACCAGATAGTTTTCACAGGGCATCCCCACTATTCGCAAAAATTCTCCGTTGGCTGAGGAGGTGGAGATATCGACCGTCGGGATTGTGGGTAGAGGATCACCGAACCAAAATGTGACAATGATGATGGAGATAGATTAGCAGACAAGATTACCCGAGTAGCCACTGCGATAGGATAGCGGTCTACTGATTTGCGCGAAGAGACGCGGATGCTGGGGTAGCGCAGGACAGGTGGCGTGGCGTCTGTGAAAAATGCCTGCGATCCTGTACTGACTCCACGGATCACGTGTCTTGGCAAAACATGAGGAAATCAATCCACACTCAACTCAACACAAGACGTCTGCCGTCTTCCTAATCATATGAAGGGCTTCAGTCCATGCTCCGATAACGAAAAGTCCTATCGCTTCCTCCTTCAGCATCCAGCTCAATAGAAGATAGAAATGTGCCCAGCCCCCGATACCGCAAAGTTGGGCGCTATGATGGTATGACCTCTCTTACGAGCCGCTCCGGCAATCGCCCGTAAGATGCTGCCACCTACTCAGCCTAAGGTGCGAAGCTCCGCTACACGATAAACGTGTGTGAGCACGAGTCCTTCTCCACGACTGTCAGAGCGAAAACAGCCGAACCCTTACAACGCCCCAAAAGGGGGCGTCGACTATATAAGAAAGTGGACACACACTGGGAAATCCGAAGATGCGCCCTCCTCGTCAATCTGTAAACACCCTGCAAGCCATTTCAAGCATATGGGCAGCGTGCCAGAGTCCATGCAGATATGGCTGACGACAAGAAGAATGCCCACAATGCCGAGAAGGTTGAGAAAGTCTCTGCGCGGGACAGCCATGACCAAGTCAACACCATTGAGGACAATGAATGCGCAGTTGGTCGCCAAAGTTGATCAATCGCTGATCGAAAATCGCCGCCAAAGCCACCGACTTGGAGCACAAGCTGGACGTCACCGAGGCGCTGAAGATCTACTAGAACGGGGTCGTCTTCGCTACCATCACCACGCTCACCGTCATCATGCGCGTATACGACATTGTCATCATCAACAGTTTCTTCGCCCTGCCCGCCTTTTACCCAAGTACACTTTCCCGTGGGCGCCTCGGACATATGGGAGGCCAAGTCGTGGCAAGTTCGTGCACGTTGCAAGCTGTAAAGGTACCCTTTTTTGGTGCATTGGGCTCTACAAATCCCAGGTACCAAGACAGCTGTTGCCGAGGTGATTACGAGCCAAGTTGAGTGCCCGAAGACATTCCCCCTTTGCAAGGTGATATCTCTGAGCGCAACGTCGTTCAACCTAGCAACCCATGACGGACCACTCTGAAGCCCAAGGAAAAACTCTCGGCTTTGAGTTGCCCCTAGCGACGAATGGAATTTGTTGGAATTCGGTGGCGGCGTAGCGCATGATTCCCTACCTGATTTGGCCGGATCCGGTGCGATGCAACACAAAGACCTCCCTCTCTACTGAATGAATTATAGATCGAAATGGTGCGTCGAGCAATGTGCACACCGAATGCGGTGCTCCGCGAACAAACATTTCCTTCTATCTCCCTCTCTACTGAATGAATCACAGATCGAAATGGTGCGTCGAGGAATGTACACGCCGAATGCGGTGCTCCGCGAACAAACATTTCCTTTTATCTCGAGGAAGTGCACATACGCATCCGGCACTCCAGGAATCCAGCTGTCTGTTTCATTGCCTATTATTACTGCCTTCTCGTGCTCGTGGATCTTGACTCTGCTACTTCTCTACGTTTGTAATCTCTTCACTTTTGCCAAAATACCTTGATCACTTCAATCCCATTCGTATCCAACCCTGCAAGTCGGAATCTTTATCGTCCCTCCCAATCCTCTCGTGTCTTGCGAGAATCAAGCCACGATGGCTTCTACAAGAGACGAAGCAAAGGACGAAGCAGTCTTACCTCCCGATGCCTTCAAATATCTCAATTCCATCAAACTTCACCAGCCCCAATTTCTCGGGAAAAGATTTGCTCGTCTCTGCAATAATTTCAAGTACATACCTCCTCCCGGCCACCGAGTGATGTTGTATAAGGCCAAACTTGAGCACGGAAGGATACTTAGAAGGCTAAAGAAAGCGTACCGGCTTCCATACTACTGGCATGGTTGTTTCAAAGAACTCCTTCAATGGCTTCACCGGATCGACTTCACTCAAGACAACCAAATTTATTTTGACAGATTTCTTGGCGAGATTATGGAAGAAACGGAATTTGAATGTTCAATACCTCTCCTTCAGACGCGAACCCATGAGTTTTTGCTTGTCTGGGAGTCTGGATTATCTATGATGAACACCCCCTACGCAACTAGGTCTGACGAAGAAACCACCTCTTACGAAAGAAGAACCTCTTACCAAGACACCAGCTCTGACGAGGAAGCCAGCTCTGACGAAGAAACTATCGAGGATAAGTGCGAGGAGCCCAGGTGGCTTATTCATGAGTTCAACCCAGCTCTTCAAGTAGAGCGCAACTCTGACACCGAAGAACCTATTCTCCCGCTGCGGTTCGGCCTCCCTGTGGGAAGAGTGACATGCTTTAAAAAGGGAAAGGGAAAAGACCATGACGGTTATAGTTCATTTCATCTGGTCTTCCATCCAGTTGACAAGAGCTTTTGGATGGTGGTGGATCGCTACTTGGGCTGGGAGAGGTTTGGTGAGTGTGGCTCTGATGTGGATGTGCATTCAGACACGCCTGAATACGAATATCTAGACAACAAAGAACGAAATATACGCCTACGCTTGCGACTTGGGAGGCGGAACAATATGGCGGGAGCCGAGGCATTCCGTTTGGGGTCAGCGGATCTTTGGTTCCCCAAAGGCTTGGGTCTGAGTGAGCTCGACGCCGGCAAACTAGTTTCTAGATCCGATCGGCGACCTCGGGGGCCGGCTGTTGACTTCTCCAGCCTTCCAAAGGTATCGCGGTTTCGAGACTCCGAGGCCCCGCAAATTCACATCGCAGAGGACTCCAGCTTCCAGAGCTATCTTGCAGAAAACGGAGTGGTGAAAGGACGCTCATGGCTTAGTGTGTCACCATTGCCTGCCTGAGAGTCTACGCATCTGCAGCATGGTGAGAGCTTTCTTCAAGTGCAAGCCGCACGAGGCTGCAAATCAAAGTCTAGGCACTGTTTGACTGGAACAGTGTCTCTAGACAAGTCGGTTCCACAATGGCCCCAATGAGTCAAGTTAGTCTAGAATCCCAGTGAATTGGTGCGAAGTACTTTGATGTCAATTAGAAAAGAACAAACTCTTTGTGCACTTAAAACAGATCAAATGGAAAGTAAATGCTCCCACCACCAGTACCCTTTGAGGTTGTCTTCCATATTTCGGGAAGGAAATTAATGCTCTCAGACATTTCACTTGAACATATCCCGGGTGCGACAGTTTCCCGTATCTGCTATGAGAAAAGTCCGTACCCAGGGGGCTAGGCCCACGATTAAAGGGGTGATTCTCAACCTACAGCTGACAGTGAGGCCAGAAGTTGAAACATTCTTTCAGCAACTTCCGAGTCAAATTACTCTGGGACAAAGCCTGCTGCATCAAAAATTTCGATGGAGACTAGAGACCCGGATCAAGATCTGCATGTCGAAGCTGTGAGATAAGGTAGATGTCTCATCCTAGCCACCACTTCAACAAAGCGAATGCTCAGATAATGATCGTGAGCTGTCTCACGATAGAACAATGCTCATACTTGAGCCATGGATGGTACGCTGTATACAAAAGAAGTGCTCCGGCGTCGAGATGTGAGTGTTCTACAACCCTTCTCATTATCCTTCGCATTATCATTATCATTATCATTCTCGTTCTCATCATTATGGCTGGTTCCTGTTCAGAGAGCATTATCAACTCGGTGGAAAACTTTTGGACGACTGAAGGCAATGGCCTCTCCAACGATGAGAATCTCAAAATCCTTACCGCGGGCTTGAACAATATGTGCAGCATTGCCAAGTGTGCGAACGATCTGATTAGAGATAATCCTGGCCTCAAAGAATACTTGACATACCGGCGACTAGTCAAAGTCCTCGATTTCGTTTTCAAAGGAGCACAGTCACTCAAAAACAATGCCTCGAAGTCGGGTTTTTCAATAGAACACCTGTCAAACACTATCTACGGCTTTGAGAAGGTTTTGATCCCTCAAACAGCTATCGCTGAGAGCACAAACAACATACCCAACTCGTCAGCAATTGAGCTTCTTCTTGAACTGTTCTACAAGGCTAGCCCAGAGGTGCCTGAAAACATATGTACGTAATCGGCAACATTATCATTGACATGTCTTGGTGACTGATTGATTATAGATGAATTCATGCTGGCCTTCGAAGCTAAATTCGGCAAACACTTCACAGAGACAAACTGTTGCGGGTTGCCCAGAGTGGTTTTCATATGCTTTCTGCCCCGTGGCGTGATTATCGCAGCTTCCGCACCCCAATGGAGCTTATCCTTCGAAGTGCCGGGACAAAGGAAAAGCAAAACGGAAGAAAAGGGATGGGAGAAAGTGAATGAACATCTGAAACAGATGCGGAGAAAGCGCTTCGGATTGTTCTCGAAAAAGGCAAGAGGAAACTTCGCAAAATTGAGGGCAGCGTGGAGGAGATGGAAGAAGGATCGTCGCCGAGCTATGAGCAGCGAGCTGGAACACCGACATTTCACCGCCTTCGATCACCAAGGGGCACAAGGAGGAGCATTCCACGTCCTGAAGGGAGCCGGCAGCATCCTCAAAATCTACGAACCGTGCATCAAATGCCGCCACTTATACCGGTTTCAATATATCGGCCAGAAAGCCATCGACGACCGACATAAGGACAAGATACTATGGCCCTATAACAGTTGCGCCGAAGATCTATGCCATGATCTGTTGGTAAACAACAAAGCGTCAAACCGGAACTCGGATGAATCTCTGTGCTGAACACAAGCAGCCTTCGACCAAGCCTCCCTCTTCATCACAACCAGCCTTCAATCCCTTCCCGATTGTGGTCGTTCCTCTTCTTCGCCTTCTCGTCCACACTCCGCAGTGGCCTTTCATCAGCCACCAGAGACTCTGCGCCTGTGGGCAGCTCCTGAACATGACATGTCAACGTGGTGAGCAAACGGTTGTTAAAATAGGTTAGTACATATATAGCGTCACTTAAAGTGTGGGCCGGGACTAGTGGGATATCGGTACATTCCTATTGGTGCGCCTTACATAAGAGTATGTTAGCGCCTTGGCATATCGTGCCATCAGATAGCCGAGCGCTGGTCGCTCCCTAGTTAGCTTCATTCAAACATTCAAAGAGTTTCTTTCGTGCCTACGACGATTCCTACCCCTGCAAGAGAGCAAGTCCGTTTCGTCCCTCAGAGTTTACTCCTTTTCCGTGAAGATCTCCGGAAAGTATACACAAGGTAATGTGCAGAATCATGTCTTTACCGCTTTGGGAAGACTAGCCAGGGGCATTGGGAAGGCAGGCAGAGCTGAAAGGATCTAATTGACTGGCCCTTTCTGAAGCGGTAGACCTATACACTTAGTCCCCACTACTGCTTATCAGACCCTGTATACTTCCGTAGTGGCTAGTGCGCCAAGGGAATATGGAAGATGTAGAAAAGTCCCTCAGACACCTCAGTAGCAACTCTCCCCACAGCGATACGCAAAGAACCCTGGCCATGATGCAAAAGACGATCCTGTACGAGCAACGGATAGAGAAAGACTCTGGCATCGAGTAGTCCACCAGATGGTTCTACCTTCGACGCACCGTAATGGTCATCATGATTTTCTGCTGTCAGGACTTTGTCGGGTTCGCCACGAATACCACATACTTGTTTGAGAGAGTTCAACATCACCTCGCAACCAGCATTTGACATCACTATTGGCAACAGCACCCTGGGCCTTGTCAGTGCCTCTCTCTCGGCATTCCTCCTCCGGTACTCTGGCCGTCGAAGTGAATTCGTCGTCGGCGTGGGTCTTATCGTTATCCTTTAGACACTCACTTCTTCTTGGGCCTGGTGGATTACTCATCTTCGCGAAAGGGCGAGAAACAGCCCTTGTAAATATCATCCCACTGATATTTTCCGGATTTGGACCTCCGTGCATCCAACAGCTCCCCCCCCCCCCCCCCCTCCAGCAGTCATCCCCATGATCCTTCAATCTGAGCTTGAGAGCAGCCAGCCCGCCTCAAAGAGTGTAGCGGAAACCAGGTGTGTCTTGAAGAATTTTCCCTTCCATCTCTGCCTTTTTGTTTTCGTTGCGGAAGATGGCGACGATAAGAAGGGTCATTGCGATGCAGATACTCATGGAGGTTAGAGACGCATAGATACCAAACAGGTATCGAGGATAGTCCTGTTCCCGGAAGATCAGAGACCCGGCGATGCCTCCGAGGCCGGAGAATCCGGTCTGCAGTGGGACGGCGATGGCTCGCTTGTTTGACTGGGGGATATTGTTGGCGAGGAACGCGATAACTGCGGGGATCGCGCTGTTGTTGCCACAAATCGCAATGAAGAGCCCGGTGAGCTTGCAGCCAAGGTTGTTTCCAAAGGCGATCATGATCAATCCGACAATAGTCATGACCATGAAGAAGATGATGAATGGCGAGCGGTGCTGAACGCGATCGGCTACCACCGAGGCCGCCACCGAGCACAGGACCGCAAGCAGGTAGGGCGGTGTAACCAAGATCTGACTGAGTGCGGTGCTGTATCCCAGGCCTTTCAGGATGGACGGCGTGAAAAAGGACAATGAATATGATCCGGTCGCAACCCAGAAGAACAAGAGCGCGAGACTCCAGCACTTCCAGTCACACAGAGCTTCCATCGTTGACTTGAACGACACCCGGTCGGAATACACTTCGCCACGATCCTGCTGGATCCGGTCCTGGATCTGCTCGAGCTCCCCGGACTTGAGCCACTTGGCTTTTTCCGGAAACTCGGTAATGTACAAGTAGATTGGGACGGCCAGGACGGCTGTGACAAGTCCGGGGATGATAAAGATCCAGCGCCAGCCGCGGAGTCCGCCCGCACCCTCCATCTTGCTGAGGCCGTACGAGAGGACACCGTTGAATCCGTTGACAGCAGCCCCAAACACATACCAGACCGCCAGCCGCTGTTGTGTTTCGTATCGCTTGTACCAGCAGGTAATGATGTAGATACAGGCGGGCTGCGTTAAAAGTTAGTTCTCTTGATGCGAGTGGCGAAGCGAGAGACAGTGGTTAATCCTACATTGAAGCCGCCCTCGAAAAATCCAAGCAAGATTCGAACGCCAATGAGCTGCTCGTAACTCTTCACGAAGCCGCAGCACATGGCGACGACCCCCCAGCAAAATATCATCCCCGAGAGCAGTTTGCGGGTTCCCACCCAGCGGAGGACTGAGTTGGTCGGTATTTCCACCAAAATGTAGATTGGGAAAAAGACCAGGGCCACGACCGAGTACCTCGATCCCGTCAGGACGAGATCCACGTCCATGCCAGCGACTTTGGCCGAGGACAGATTTGTCCTGTCAATGAGCGACAGGGCGTATAGAATGCACAGGAAGGGCATGACATGCAGGTCGATGCGGCGCAGGAGCTTTTTGTCCGGGACAGATGTGCTGGGAAGACCCTGCTCTTTGGAGGCCACGTCCTCGTCATGGATTGTAGAACTGGTCTGGACCTGGACGGCCTTGACTTCCGCGCCGTCGGTGGGATCCAGCGCAGACATGATTCAATATCTTTGGCGCGGGTGGTATGGGTTGGAAAGATATGCAAAGAGGCATACAACAGTCTGGAAACTAGGCTGTGCGAGAAAGTGTCTGCTCAACTGAAGATAGAAGACGCCGACGATCTGGGGTCCGGAGTAAGGAACCTGGGGAAAGCGGATGTCTTTAACTATATATCCCAGACCCTACAGCACCTGGCATAGCGAAGGGCCCTTTCCGTCGGGTCCTTGACAATTGGTGTTAAGACCAAAACTGCCTTTGAATGCCAAATTGAACCGCACCCGCCCACTACCCCGAAGCATGGCATTGCGCAGATTTGGCCGAGGGCCATTCGTTCTCGGCCCTTTCGCATACGCAGATTGACCCGGAATGTATTGTACCGAGGGCTTGGGTCCTCTGTCAGCCAAGTCCACGTCGTCGAGCCTCTCAAGCAAGGGATTTCCCACAATGAAGCTCAGCCTCGCCATCACATTCAAACCTGGCTGTTGCTAGCTTTCCTTTGGTTTGTTTTTGGCTTGCCTTTGACGTTGTTTTGTCTGAGATAGGAGAATTATCTGTGACTGTGCGTTGATTCTCGTCCCGGAAACAAGTTTCTCAAGCCACACCACCGAACACACGAGTCCGAGGGCAAAATATTCAATCAGGAATCCAATAGTCGGTGTTTCTTTCCTCGAAGCCCTAAAGTGAGCTCCTAGTCTCACGGTCACTGGGTGCTGCGCCGACTGCCAGTGGACTTCTGCCAGTTAGCAGCACGAGTTTCGTATTTCCCGAGGGCCCGGCAATGATTCACAGATCCATCCTTCCCTGGAAGCCCATACAGAAAAAGGTTTGACCATTGTTTGGGACCGTCTGGTAAAGGGCATACCTACTAGGTTTTGGGCGAACTCGCCAATCTAATATGTTCCCGAGACCCGGGGGAGGGGGGAATCACTTGGGGCGGCGATTTCAGCGGCGATACCCACGGCGATTTCGCTCACCCATCCTAAATCGGAAGGGTGGCCCTCTCCGCCAATCATATGGAACAGCATGTCATCACTGTCGATACGGGAACGACGCGCAGTCCGGAAGGAACATCAATGTCAGGAGGTGTCACAAGGATAACTTATAGCACAGATACCATAGGCACACCAAGGTAACTCGATCCCTATCAGAAAGCTGGGCAGGAAGAAGTAGAATACTTGCCAGGGACCCCCCTCCGCTATCAAATTCGCGTTGGTGTTTGTGCAGATACCCGACAGGCCACGCGCCGCAGCCCTTCGCCACAGTCCTCTCCGAAACAAGTCCGGGACCTTGCATAAACACCAAGGCTGGCTAGATAGATAGACGACGACTTAGGCAGACACCAGCGAAGCTAAGGGCATGGTGAGAATAGACGGATTTATGTTCAAGAGAAACGAGTGCTATCTAAGTTTTTCTTTTTGGTGGCAGATTCTACCTAACGGGATTCCCTGGAGCATTCGCAAAATCCAAATGACGAGGAATAAGCCCTACTCATGTATACTCGGTGGACTGATGAATATGCTCAGATCACATATTCGTGGTTAACCATTCCACGTCCTTGCTGAGGTAGGCCACAAATTCAAGACGCTCGCTCACGCAAGGGAAACCCCCAGAAATAGTGTGGCAGCTTTTCTTAGTGATCGCGTCGTGTCTTGACTCCAGCGTCGCGAAATGCCATTTCTAGGACGACCGCATCGTCCCGCAAGGGGTCCTTCTCACAATTGACGAGGTATGTAGGCAGGAAGTGCTTGTGAGTATCAGTCGCAAGCGCGGTCAACACGGATGGATCTGTGGGATCAGCCCCTGTGCATGCTGTATGTTGCGCACACACGCTCAAGTTGACTACGCTCTCAACCCCTTTCCAATCCCTCCAGTCGGCCTAGGCGACCGATGTCCCGTTTGTCAATTTCTCGTTGGCGCTCATGAGATGTGCAATTCGGGTCTTGTCCACTTCGTGAGTAGGGTTACCAAGATACCAGGTGAGGTCGCCGCCATTCTCAATCTCGGCGACATGCATGCCGTTTCCGAGGAAGGCGAAGGGATTCTCAGGTACCGAGTACTCGATGTCGTAGTCCTCCATCCGGGGCGCCTCGAGGAGTTTCAAGAAGTGTAATCGTGATCCGGGCCACAATGCCGGCTTTCCATCCTTCTTGCCTCCTTTGAACCAGGACGTGCACGGGTCGGTCCACACAGTCCGCTTGAGAAAGGCATCAGCGTGGGACAAGAACTGGTCCGTCCTTTGCAGGTTGGGCCTCACGGACGTGATGTTCTCAAGCTGCATTTTCTCCAGAATTTGGAGGGTGTACTCGCAGAATTTGTGGATCAGGGGGAAGAATGACCCGTGCGCCACGGGGAAGTATGCGCCTCCTGAAATGAAGTAGTTGGGCACGCCGGCCAGCCCGACGCTGAGGTACGAGGGCACAGTCTCCCGTGTACTCCAGAGCTTGCCCATATCGACGCCGTTGACCAGAAGAGGGGTCCGTGGCTTGAATGTCGTATCAAACCCGGTGGCACAAATAATGACATCGACGGCGTGCTCGTTATCATCGGGGTCGAGAAAGCCATTCTCCGTGATGGTGGTCAGCTCCTGCGTATAGGTTGTCGTCTTTGGGCCGCACAGGGACTGTAAGTAGCCATAACCCGGCGTAGGGCGCCTACAGCCGACGGAGAAGTCTGTGGGCACGATTTTGTCCCGGATATCCGGCCGAGACTGGAGGTTGGTTGTCATATAGTCGTGGCAGAACTTGAGAGCGGCTTTTTGTTCTTTCGTCCCGTTGAGGATGAACCCGAATCGTCTGTTGAACGGCTCTTCGACCATCTTGCGGTAGGCCAGGTATTCGTCTTCGTTGCTAAAGATCTGTTGCTGTTCCGGAGAGTATGCATAGTTTGCCCCGTCACTGCGAACAAACTGCTGAGAGAATGTACCGGTGATCCAGATCTTGCTGCGAACCCAGGTGTATATCTTTTCGACGCTGTCGTATATGCTCGGAATGATCTGGACTGCACTACTTCCCGCGCCGATCACAGCCACCCGTTTGCCCGTAAGGTCAACGTTTGGATCCCAGGCGGCGGAATGGAGCAGAATTCCCTTGAAGGACTGCAGCCCATTGATGTTGGGCCATTTCCACTTGTTGAGCACGCCAGTGGCATTGATCACCACATCTCCAGATTCTACCCACCTGGAGCCGCTCTCCAGATCTTGAACCTCGACTTCCCAGCGTCCAGCCTCATCGGTCCAAGACATAGACAGGACCTCGTGGCGCAACTTGACGTACTTTTCGACGAAATGATTTTCTCGCTCGACTGTCTTGAGGTAGTCCCATATCTCTGACGCTTGCGACCAGTAATGCGACCAAGGTGCAGGCCTCCATGGATATTGGTAGACCACGGAAGGGACGTCGCAAGCACAGCCCGGATATCTGTTCTCGAGCCACGTGCCTCCAATGTCATCGTTCTTCTCAAAGCAGACGATGTCCAGCTCCTCCCCCTTTTCCTCTGCGAGTTTGAAAAAATTAAGACCGGACACGCCCGCGCCAACCACGATGGCCTTGAGGCGTCTCTTGGTACCGAAGAATTGTTCCGTGATATAGACGTCCTCTGATGGATTTGATGGGGACATGGTGGGTGTCAAAGGCTTACTCGGAGGGGGGGTCTTCTCCGTCTGGCCATTACAAAATGGCGGAACAACCTCTGCGTCTCCCATGGCCTAGTACGGACACGGGCGAAGAAAATATAACGGTATGGTGTAGACGGTTGGAACTCTCGTTGGGCTGAGCGACGCGATCCAATCCTCGTGTGAAGGGTGATATTAGATAAATATCAAGAACAGCGTTCCGCCCTGTACACGGCCAAGGAGCTAAAGGCGGTATGAGGATATAACTTGGCCCGAGGGTCTCTCTCTATCACCCGTACACAGTTTTGGTGTGGATCACCTTGTACCGTTAAGTGTTAACCCGGAGCAGCCCGAGGTATAGCAGAGGTAGTAGAGCCCGAGGCCCAAGATGGCGACCTACCAACAAACTACGTACGAGCAGGGACATTGTAGAGGGTTGCATTCTGGCTCTCGCGTTCCCAGAAGGGAGTCAAAGAACCCGACCTGGTACCTAGTACATAATACACTGCTCTTGTTTGCTCCATTTGGGGTGACTTTGTCAGTAACGACATAGAATTTCCTCCCCTATTTCGAATTGATTGAAACATCTCAAGATGTCAAACCGGACGATGCGCGCAGTCGTCTTCAAGGGACCTTTCGAGGTACGAGGGGCGCGCGCGCAGAATGTCTCAAAGTAGCATGCTGACACGCCTACGCGCAGGTGGCTGTAGAAGATCGACCGGTACCAACGCTACAGGATCCTACCGATGTCATCTTGAAAGTCACGGCCACAGCATTATGTGTAGGTCAAGTGGATACAGGGGCCAGAGGAAGTCCCTGAAAGGTGGCTAACACGAAGCACATCAGGGATCTGACCTACACTACTACCGTGGCCATGTCAACATCCCCCCGGGCCTGATCTGTGGCCATGAATTTGTCGGTTCGATTGTCGAAAAGGGTGAAGACGTCAAATCATTCGAGATCGGCGAGAGAGCTGTCGTCCCGTTCTCGACGGCTTGCTCGCAGTGCTTCTACTGTACACGATCTCTATCCGGACGGTGCACCAAGGGCCAGATGTTTGGCATGCCTGGAGGGGTCCCCGGTGGACAAGCCGAGTATGTCAGGGTACCACTGGCCGACACAACCCTCTTCAAATCTCCAGACGGTAGGTATATGGACAATCCTCGCCACCCTTGCTCTCTCGTTGATGCTTTGAAGGGGTCGACGAAAATCTACTGGTGTTGATGGCGGACATCTTTCCCACCGGCTATTTCGCCGCTTCCCGCTTTTTGTCAGACCTTCGGCCGGACGAACGAGAAGATTTCACGGCAGTGATCATAGGATGCGGACCAGTGGGCATTTGCGCCATTGCCACTGCTCTCACAATGGTGAAGACGGTCTACGCCATAGATTCGGTACCGGAACGATTAGCTGAAGCCGAAAAGATCGGTGCCATCGCTCTTGCACTGGACGACCAACCTGCCGACAAGATCCGGGCTGCCACCGGCGGCCGTGGTGCTGACGTGGTAGTGGAAGTCGTTGGACGCAGTGACGCGCTCATGCTCGGGCTTGACATAGTCAGACCATACGGCAAGATCAGCTCGATCGGTGTGCACACGGCCACTCTGGAAATTCCGGGGTTGCTCCTCTACGGTAAGGCCGCCACCCTTGCTTTCGGTCGGTGTCCGGTGTCAAGTGTGTTCAAATCGGCTCTGGATGTGTTGATACGCCAGCAAGAGAAGGTTGCCTTCTTGTGTGGTAGGAAGATGCCACTGGAAGAGGCACCGCAGGCCTGGAAGGATTTCGAAGCGAGGAAAGTACATAAAGTTGTGTTTGACTTGACTCAGAACCCATCATCGGAAGAGCCGGTCTGATGTGTAAAAGTAGGGGACGGTCCGACACGAAAAATAGAATGCGTCTGAGATAGTGGTAGAATGCCTTGTCGATTCAAGTAGACAAAATATCATAGTTCAGTCAGCGCATCTGTTCAGTAATACCCTCACAACTCCGAAAGGTCTTGTCCTTCATATCCCACGCCTCCCCAATCCCTCGAGAGCCCAACTACACCAAAAGTGTAAGGTACCGGACAACCGGTACCATATCTGCCACTTAAGACCAATGAATGGCTGTGTAATCACCAAAAATCGACCGGGCGGGTCTTTACAAACCTGGACCAATAGCGAGGGATTGCCTTGACCCCTGACTTTGCGCAGTACCTGGGCAGCATCTGGGCCAGAGTTACGCGAACCCTATCTGGCGGTCCGAAGTCGGGACACCACGGATCTCGTCGTTGTCGCTGGCCGGCTTTATATTAAGGTACATCTAAGGATACCACATCAAGTTAGCCTAGCATTAAAGGGCTTCGCGGGGATGAAGCTGTACCTGTCTCCGCTTAGCCTGACTTAGCGTGCACGGTTTCTGAGAACTAGTGGGGATATAAAGCCAACCCAATGGGAGATATTTCCAGTGGAGTCGTGTCAGGTCTCTGCGAATGGTTCATTCGTCCTGAGAGGCGATCCTGACCCGTACGCCTGTGAACCGAATATTAGCAGCGGGGCTGAATGGCACTGGCTTCGGCCTGGAATTCAAGCGTGGTCCTTATCCACTTAGCCACTGTAATGGTGATGCGAAACTGTAACATCATTCTGTGCTGAAGTCCATTCGCAGTCCATTGCCCCCAGAGAGTTCAGCTGAGCTGGGGTTCGTGGTCTTCCCGTGTCATCCACTCAGATTATCGCCAGGGGGCGATTGGTTGGTTCCTGCTGCACGAAGTCCTCGACCCGCGGGATACGTCCCAGGACTAGAGCGAGACACTGGAATCGAAGGACCAACGAGTAAAGTTGATAGTTGGGGAGACATGTCTCGTCCTTCGGTCGTGGCGGCAATTGAGGATTCTGCAGAGACTCGGGTTCGCAGGAGCCGAGTGAAGTCTGCCTGTACCTTTGGGCGAGCACAAGAGTGTTTTTCAAGATGGTGGGGAAAAATTCTGTGGCGTCATAGAGGTCCACCATTGTCTTCGATAGCTGCGAGCAGATGGCGAGACTCTCAACTGTTGAGGGTTCAAAGTCTGTGGCTTGTTGGAGGTAAAGGTAGAAAATGGTCAGTGGGATGAGGACCACGATCAACCTAGAGCGTCGTCTCAATAAAACCATTTCTCGCGGACAAAAGACGGATGAGAGGGTGGTATGGCCGGCACTCACATGTTGGATGGTAGTTGAAATACCATCTGCTCATCCCGCACTTCTTTCAAGATCTCCATCATTGACTTGATCGAATCCCACAGCGCTAATCGAGAAGATTCGATGATCCTCCTGGCCCACGGTGTAATCAGGCTCCTCTCCAGGATGAGTGTGTTTTGGTACAGGATGGTAATGGCATATCTGAAATCGGATGTCAACAGCTGGCGAGAAAGCGGCAAAACGCAGTGCACCCGAATCAGTACAGAAGGGACAAAGGTTTGCACGGTGGCTTCTGTGAGTGGCCTTACTCATATGTCAACTTAGTTATCAACTGTTCCAGGCGGAGGAGGCGCCTTTCAAAATGCGGCAGAGACTCGTGCGGTTTCAGCTCGCAAAGTGAAGTGTTGTCGTACCTCCATTTACGATAGCGCGCCTCCATCTCTTCAACAGGCATCGGGTTCGATGGAGCTGGCGGTGTAAAGTCAGGCTTTTCTCCTATCAGTTCCAGCTGATCGGCAGTGCGCCTCCACAAGACCTTGCCCAGGTGACCGAACAAGACTTGCATCTCGATGCGAGCCACGAAAAGACGCGTCAGTTGCTGTTTTACAGCGGCGCTCAAGTACCACGAGAAACTGAAGTCTCGTTCGAAGTCTTTTAGTCCAAGCGTGTGCCAAGGCAAGGAAATGGCGTCCATCATCTTTGGGTTGCTCGTCCATTTGAGTCCCATGAGAGCACTCGAAAACCGGTGTAGCCAACATGCGCATACTCGATTCCACTCCGATCGTTCGGCAAATCCTGGGGTCGAGTTCTTCTGAGGCCACACGCCGACGCTCTCGATCGTCTTGTATGCTTCAATTATCCAGCGTTCATTCTCCACAAAGTGGCCTGGATAGGCCTTGAAGGTACTGAGCAAGAGGCAAATCTGAACTCTTCGCATCGGATCACTTTCGCAACCTAGTTTGAATAGGAACTGCACAGGCCCGGGACGAGTCAGCACACGGGTTGAAAAGCGGGTAGGAAATTGGCATACAGTCGCCCTAGAGTAATGTTCGTTCCGCTTTGCTCGTAAAGTCCGAATCTGAGACGGATCCATACCGCGCACTTTTGAGTACTGTGCCTGTGTCAGTGGCGGCACTCCTCATCACAACACCTGCGTGTCAGGACTCACCGGGCACGCTGCGAACATAATACAGTATAAAAGTGCTAGACTAATTGGAGTTAGTGGTCGCTCCGACGACTCATCTTCTGTGCCGTTCACCAGAAGGTAAAAGTCGCGTTCGTCGAGCAGAGGGAGCCTGTGGTGCACGTAGGTGAAATACAATTGTACCGACATAGAGATTTCGGAGATCTCAGGCAGGTGCAACACTCTTTGTTCTACCAGTTGGGTGTAGGCGTCGTCATCCTTGTGGCTCTCCATGACCCAGTCGGCAACCCAAGGCAGAGGGGACTTGAACACATGACGTCTGTGTTGAACAGGTGGCTCCACGGATGCTGGCGACAGTCCAAGCGGATGGCCTACGCTCATCGCAGCGGTCACAGATGGATCGAACACGTCTGTCAGATTCATGTATTGCTCCAGTATCTGCTCATCTGAAAACTCGTAGTCTAGAGCGGGCAGGAAGGAATCATATGACTCGGATAATATAGCCGTCTGTGATTCCGCTGTGAAATCATCTGTACTCAGCATACAAACATCGGTATTGTTCTGGACCTGAGACAATGATGTTTCACTGCGCATGTTGATGCTGGCGCGGGCGCCAAACGGTTGACGCACCGTGATCTGTGTTGTCTCAATGTCCTCGTCTGGCTGCACACTATCTTCAGAACGGGTCTGAGAGGCGTTCGCGGGCGATGCTGCAAGAGCTCCTGCGTCGGGTGGACCGATCTCTCTGGCTTGATTAATCCTTCGAGACGGATATGTGTTGTGTACTGAGTGGCCATCGGAGTCAGAAACCCTCGCAGAACCAGTTTTGCGAGTAGGTACGCCAGCTCCTTGAGATCGACGGGTTGAGTGCCTGTTGAGGATCGAATTAGATGCATCAAGGAAGGTCGACCACGCCCGCGACTGGGGTAGCGGCTACGTACCTTCGTGGAGCCAACTCACATATCAATCCATCTAGGGTGCAGTTGGTGCATGGCTCGGGTCTCTTTGAGACGGCATCGCAGCGCACCTTTCGGCCGCGGCACGAAAGACATGCTTTGGCAGAGCGAGGATTCCTCGGCCGATTCAGTCTCGACTCTGAAGCAAGTACAGACCACTCGGCCGAGGGCTGGGCCATAGTTCAGCGCCTGATATTCGATGTGGGTGATAAATCGATTCCAATGGCCAGCAACTGCAGGAAAGGCGCTATTCATATCATGCTGGAGCTGGCACGTGGCTGGTCGGCTGACCTGCCGTAAATCTGCCCCGCACTTGGCGCCAAGGCTCCAATCCGGGGTGAATGGACAATCACGGATGAGTTAAAACTGAACGCGACACTTCAATTAGCCAATGACCAGAGATGCAGCAATATTGCAGGGATGGTCTGCAATGCACAAGACAGGAGAATTGAAGACTTTGGTACTTCTGCCATTTGCTGGCTGAAGCAAAACGGAGTGATGGCCCATTCGCCAGCTCCGCGCCTACAGATCAGAGCGAGCTAGTCTTTACAAGCAGCCCTAGGAAATTCATAGCACCAAGACGCTAGTCTATATAAAGATTTGCCGAGGCCAGATGCAACATTTGCCGAAACTCGGCTATTTCTCACCTCTCGGGTCAGGAAACGCAACCAATGAGTGAGGATTTTGTCTGAGAACTATACTAACCCAATACAGTAGCAACGGCAAGAAAAAGTCATGCAAACACAACTGATGTGCGACAGGCGTCTAGACCGTGGACAGACCCCTTGTTAGGCAAGGTAAAGACGAATGAGCCACAGGAATTGACAATTCGTTTTGGTCCAGATGATTGAGACCCTGCCACCCCTGCCCAGATCAAAGCCTGGATGTGACTGGGCTGCTCTGTTCGTGACCAAAAGATCCACGTACCAAGGCCATGATCCGATTGCGGGCATGTTCCTCACCCTCACCCATTATGATCTCTTCGCTGCGCCAGTCGCTATTGAAGGTGTGCATGTTGAGCGGATTTTCCTCGTGTGCCACGCGGAAGAGGCTCGAGTAGACGTCACCGTCATAGCGCCCGAGCGAACTAGACAGTAAATAGTCGGGAATGTCCCAGGCATCCACCAAGGCAGCGGCGTGGACTCGAACAGTATCCAGGAGTGTTTGAAGCTGCGAGGACAGGCCCTCGAGATGACTAGGCAGCAACACCCCTGCGATCAAAAAATCAGCCGCTTGTTTCTCAAGTGTCGAGAGGGTGAACAGTCTGAACAGCGCGTGCATGACGTTGTGTGTGGTCTGCCCGAGCTGCGGCGTCTGGGTCGCTAGGGCGTTGTAGAAATTGGCCACAAGGACGGCTTGGCAGTGCGCGTTGCTCAATCTGTGTAGGCGAATAAGCATACGTTTCCACGGTGTTTTCTCCTCAATCCGCGCTTGGTACGCCTGGTGCGCGAGCAGGCTCGCTCGGAACTGAAATGCCGCCACGAGGTCTCTGTCGCAATGGAGCACGTCAAACTCAGGGACGCGATCTCTCGTTTGCAGGAAGTCCAGGAACGCGCGGTCTGCATCATCCGTTCTCGTGGCAGAAGGCTCCTTGACACACTTCTGCATGCGCTTAATGAGATAACTGGCCGTTTGCTGGGTGATCATGTAGTTATCGCCTTCCACTGTCGGTTTCGATAGATAGTCGTTGTTCAACGAGATTATACCACTCCCACCGCCAAATCCGTGGCCTCCAAGCGCGCGGCGGCACGTTTCGATCCCATCCGCGGCCAGCGTGGTACATAACGCCTTCAGTCCAGATGAAGCCGCATGCATCTCGGCTATTTTAGAAAAGTCGTTATGCTCTTCGATCCGCGCTCGTGTCGAAGAGTAGATTTCGTTCATAGCTTCACCTGTATAATGAAGAGCAAACGTTGTGGCTAGTAAAGGAAGCACTCTGATCTGAACCGTCGGATAGTTAAGCACAGCCTCTTCTGGCGCGGTAGGTGAGGCGTCCCGGTCGCGGAATTGTCGTCTTATCAGTGTGTATCGGACGGCGATGGTGACAGCGCGGGCCAGCACGAGCCGTGCCTGCATGATAATCTGCGCCCGTGCGTAGGTTAACGAGCCATACACGGTGGCCGGCTTCTCAGGCTTGATGTACTTTCCACTCTCGGTGACGCGGGAATACTTGGCCAGGAGCGCAGACGAAGGAATACGAAAGTTCTTGAAGAGCATGTAGCCGTTATCCATAGAGGCGTACCCGTATTTTGGCCCGATGTCGCCAATCACCACCCCTTCAAGGGGCTTGTGGGTTTTCATGTCGCGGACCTGGACGATGAACTGATGTGGTCCGTACGATTTCATAGTCCCATTCTCATCTGGGAGCATTAACTGTGCGACGACGACGGCATGATTTGCACAGCGACCAAGAGAGCCGTTCCACCATTTCGCTGCGGTCAGGTGAGGACTGTGAAGAACGTAATCCCTGCCTTCAGGGTTCCATCTGGCCTCGGTTTCGATCCCCCGAACGTTACTGCCATGACCAAGTTCCGTCTGGCCATAGCAGCCAACAATCTCCCAGTTCTCGATCTTAGGTAACCAATACGTCCTCTGCTCATCGTCACATTGCTGCCTCAACGATGCCAGGAACATAGTGTTGGAGAGCGCAAAGGGCGAAACCTCGTCCAGGAGATATTCGGCCACTCTATCATCGTCTTCGGACCATCCGTAGCGCCTAGAAATCCGCCTGAGTTCCTTTGCCCGTGCCAGACCTACGTGAAACCGCTCCGGCCGAGACATATTCAGGTTGTTCTTCTTTGAGAAGAGAGGGTGATTCTCCAGGACATCCACAATCCGCCTTTGACGCTCGCGGAACCCATTGCGGTGCAGAAGATGATGAGACAGTCGACCGACATCAATGTTTGTATTTGCCCGCTCTGCTGCTAAGATGCGGGGCGCGGGGGGTTCAGCCGGCTTCAGACTTGCTGAAAAGTCGGACATGATACTGGGAGAAGGCAGCGACCTGACAGATCGTCGTCAACTAAGAAGCATTGGAGGTATAATAGTTGACACTCTGGTGACTTGAGCGTGACAAGCGTGGACAGTGCGGACCTCGGTCTCCATAGACGTGCGTTTTGCCGGCGGGCCGCCCGGGGATCATCGTCGACGAATGTAGGATGCAGGGGTATATGCACTAGTAAAAGGCGGGGTTGAGGGGAGCGTGGAGCATCTGTCTGGGCCGGATGGTCATGATTCGTCGTCGGGGTTGTATGAGGGTCTATACCGAGTATAAAACCTGAAATCACCTCGGCAGAAGCGCACAAAACTCCGCTCGCCGGGCGGCAAATGCCAGGATGCCAACTTGAACGAATCACCGAAAGCCAGTGTGCCTAGGCTGTGGTTCCCAATGACCCCCTCCAAGAGTCTAGCGTCTACAGCTGCGAGAGAGATGCAGAAGGCAGCTCCCTCACATCCTAGATGTCTGACTCTTCACACACCTCATTATTTTACCACCGTTGGACGAGTTTCTCATTCAGTTCTGAAGGTCTTTATCGCCGCAGCGTGCAAAACATGACTTCCCCGCTGCCCAAATGGAAATATGTCTCCATCGAGCTTGCCGATAGTGCACTTGGGGTTTACGTGGTTACAATGAATAAACCTCCAGAGAACCGACTAAATATCGAGAGCGCGCAAAACATCATCTCCGCCCTTCGATACATCGAGAAGGTCCTGCTGGGCCCCGACAAGCCGGGCGCCGTCGTCATCACCAGCTCCAGCGATAAATTCTTCTGCACCGGCGTCGACCTTGAAGAAGCCTCGCGGGATCCTGCGTCTTCGGCAGATGGATTTTTCCCTTTGCTCGCAACCCTCCTCGATTATCCATATCCGACCATCGCCGCGATCACCGGCCACACCTTTGGCGGAGCATGTCCGTTCTCACTCTCCTGCGATTATCGGTTGATGAACCGGAAAAGAGGGTTCTTCTGCATGCCGCCTGTAAATCTAGGCCTGCATTTCGATGGCATCGGCTATCTTCCCCGGCTGAAGCTCGCCCCCCAGGTGGCGAGAAAGATGTTGTTGGAAGCACACAGATGGACGGCGGACACGGCCGTTGTGGACGGCGTCATTGACGAAGCGGTAGAACCCGACCAGTTGTTGTCACGAGCGGTGGAAAAGGCCAGGGAGATTGCTCCGAGGGCTAAGATGGGAGTCTATGGCCTCTTGCGGAATGAGCTCGTCGGCGAAGCATCGCGTCAGTTGCAGCAAATGTCGTATCGTCACCACCGGATAGCGAGCCAGCCGGTCCGGGCCAAGATCTGATTGATCAAGTGGCTCAATACTTGGGGCCCATGAGTCAGAAATAGGCGGCTGCAGGCAGTTGAAACAGCGTATTTGAATATTAGTCTTACCTCTCATCACGTGGCTTTAGTACTAGGAACAGTGGCAGGAGGCCTTGGGTATAGGCCCCGTTATCCTGGGCTACGCACAAGTCAACCGCCGGGATTGGATCATTACGTCCCGAGTCTGCGGCGACTAGATTTTCAAGCCGCGGGGTACCTCTATGTAGCTCGGCATTTTCTATAGCCACCAAATATCGCCGCTTCGCTTTCTTGGGCCAACAATCTGTTGGTTGTTTTGATAAGCTGCAGTACTCCGCAGCGTCTATATTTCTATCGCTTTATCGACTTTCCGTAGATTCTCCCGTGTTATTCAACAGAGTATTCAGTTTCTTAGGTTGTTGATAATCCAGCGTTTGACTTCGCCTTCACACTTTGACGGTTGTCCCTCCTGTTACAAAAATGGTGACAACAAACCTAGATCCGGCAAGCTTTGACCGAACAGATTTCTTTCCACCACACGAGGGAGAGAATGTCCTTCCTCATGATCTGCTGTTCCACAGGCTGTACTTTTTGGCCCTCAATCAAAACACGACAGCAGTGAGGGACCCTCACAACAATCACGAGATCAGCTACCACCAGCTCTTTAGCGATGTCGTGGCGGCCAGAAACCACATTCGCCAGCAGCTTACGGCTAAATCGTTGGAGATGATTCGGAGGGGAGATGAGATATGTGTGCTCGTTGTCGCAAGAGGTTACGAGTTTGTCGTTGCGTTCTTTGCTGTGATGTGCCTCGGGGCCATCGTTGTGCCTCAAAGTGAGCTCTTCAAGTTCACCTCCCATCATGGATCTTATGGCAGAAGCTAATAGTGCACAAGGTCCTCACATCTCTTTCGAGGAACTCATCCATGCGGCCAAAACCTCACGCGCACATGCCACGGTGTGTTCCGCACGCCATGAGGACCTGTGCCGAAGTATTACTGGTAGCCCGGGCATTGAAAACGATTACCGCGTTGTGCTTGTGGATTGCTGTATCAAGACCACGCCCACAGACCTGCGCTCATTGGTCTTTTCTTCCGGCAAAGCACCTGACCCGAACAAGCCAGGTCTCATCATCTTCACCTCCGGCAGCACGGGTCGACCCAAGGGAGCAGCGATGAGGAGATATAACGTCATTGCGATTGCTCTAGCCGCAGGATGGCGGAATAACATCGGACCCGGCTTCACCAGTCTCCAAAGCCTCCCTACGCACCATGCTACGGGTCTGATGGTCAACACGGTCCCGACCCTCGTAGGGGGTGGCTGTGTGGAGTTTACGAGCGCCAAACTGGACATACCGGATCTCTGGGATCGGATCCGGCGTGGAAACATCACGTCGTTTTCCGCCGTGCCGACGGTTTTCATCCGCCTCCTGCAACACTGGGACAACGTCCTCATGGAACTTGATGTTAAAGAAAGAGAAGAATACCGCCGAGCACTCTGTAGCATCGACCAGCTTCATTGTGGGTCTGCGGCGTTGCCTGTCCATGTATCTCGAAAATGGGCCACGCTGTGTGACGGTCGTCACATTCTGGAAAGATACGGCGGAACGGAATTCGGCAACCCTTTCTCAAACCTGAAGGGAATGACGTTCGTCCCAGTAGGATACCAACTGAGTCCTCTAGCTGCTCCGATCTGAGGTGGAGGGGAAGAAGAAGAGAATCCAAAGCTGATGCTGTATGATATTAGGGCTCGGTCGGGATCAAGAATCCGGGGACAGAATCATATCTCGAAGGAGGCGATCAGGGAGAGGTCCACGTCCGCTCTCCATTCATGTTTTCAAAGTATGCCCTCCCCCCCATTGGTTTAATCTTGATCATATATAACCTTCGCTGTCAGGTACATCAACGATATCGAAGGGACTAGGAAAGCCCTTACGGATGATGGATTCTTTAAGACTGGGGACATTGCGGAGAGAGTGGGAGACCTCTATTTCCTCAAAGGGCGCAGTTCTGTGGACAGTAAGCACGGTGAATATCATAAGGTCACTCCGAGCTGATGCGTCTCCCCAGTCATCAAGTCAGGCGGGTACAAGATCTCGGCCATTGATATTGAGCGCGAGATCTTGGAGCATCCGAAAGTTCAGGAAGTAATCGTGGTTGGTGTCGATGATGCAGAGCTTGGTCAGCGGATAGCAACGGCCGTGGTTTTGAAAGAGGTTGGTCCCTCTAATGCTTTAGGGAATCCTCCAAAAAAAAAGGCTAACCATGGTTCCAGGGGCAGCAATCACTCTCGTTGCCGGATCTACGAGATTTCTTGAAGGACAGATTGTCGTATTACAAACTCCCCACGGTTCTTCGCGTCGTGCCCGAGTTGAAGAAGACCAACACCTTCAAGGTGCCCAAACTATTACTGAAGAAAGAATTGTTTGAGACGGGCCACACTGACCTTCAGTATTGGAAGCGGGACAAGGCCAAACTGTGAGAGCTACGTGGGTGGAATGGGGGATCAACGCCATCTAGAAAATAGAGAGCAATGCTAGTGAGGGCTTCCCGCAATGATTCCAAGCCACCACGCATAGCCTAGACATTTCTTTTGCAGACTGGCACAACCTCTCATGCCAAAAGGGCTTACAGCCTCGTAGGTGGGAGCATACAGAGGTAGACGAGGCGAGCGAATAATATCGGGTCTTGGCCAAGGACCACGCTAACTCGATATGACAAATACCTCGGGCCGGTGGGCTCGATCCCTTCTTTGAACCGTGGGCCGCCATCGCCTGTGAAGACCACGCCAAAATGATCACCGGCGATTTCAATGCACCGCAGGCTAGGGGCTAAATTCGAGTGGTAGTTACGCTCGTATGGCTAGGGATCGTGCACAGGGCATATCATGGCATCTGGAGTACATACTCGAGGCGTTGGATCGAACAATGGCTGACTTGAACTAAGATTTTGCCCACATCATTTGACATACATATGGCTGACTGATTCCGTCGAGTCCACCCTTTATTAGTGTGAACATCCGGTCCGTATTGTGTATAAAGTAGCAAAAGATTCCTCTCCGTTCCACACGTATTGAAAACAGTGAGGAAAAGCAGCTGGTCCATAATTCAACCACTGCGCTCTCCTGGCTTCTTTTGTAGAGAGATTCACGTATACGACCATGAACGGTACCACAGAGCTCGATGTGTTCAAAAACTACTGCAACACGATTGACGGAAAGCTGAGGAACACGTCAGCAAAGCGACATGGAATAAACCCCGCCACTGGCGAAGCGCTTGCAGACGTCCCAGTCGCGACGAAAGATGACGTTGATGACAGCGTCGAAGCGGCCAGAAGAGCTTTCAAGACTTGGTCCAAGTTACCGTACGAGGAGCGGAAAGCGGCCGTGGAAAGTTTTGCGTCAGCCATTGAGCAGCTGGGCGATAGTTTGACGAGGCTGTTGACCATCGAACAGGGCAAGCCGGTAAGAACGATCGGAGACTCCTGCCGGGTCCGCATTCTCTTTCATGATTTTCTGTTCTGACAGCCCGTTTTCAGCTGGTTGTGGCTCGCTCTGAGCTCCGAGCAGGCGTCGATCGAATGCGGTCTGCTGCAAAGATACATATCGTAGACGAGGTGGTTTGGGAAGATGAGAGAAAGCAATGCATTTTGCGCTACGTGCCTCTGGGAGTTTGCGTGGGAATCGTCCCCTGGAACTTCCCCGTCAGTCTCGCGTGCCAGAAGATTGCGCCTGCCCTGATGGCGGGCAATACCATGATCGTGAAGCCGTCGCCGTTCACGCCTTACTGCACCCTGAAGATCGGAGAGCTGGCCCAGCGCTTCTTTCCTCCTGGCGTGCTGCAAGTCTTGAGCGGCGACGACCAGCTCGGCCCCTGGCTGACCGAGCATCACGGTGTCGACAAGATCAGTTTCACCGGCTCGACGGCCACGGGAAAGGCCATTATGCGCAGTGCAAGCGGCACGTTGAAGAGAGTGACACTGGAACTGTGAGTTTTGTTTCCACCTTTTCGGGCTAGCGTCATTAACGTTCGAATCAAAGTGGAGGCAACGATGCTTCGATCGTATGTCCGAGTGTCGACATAAAAGAAGTAGCACCAAAGGTGAGTCTTGGAGGAAGTGAGAGGAGAAAAGCCCAGTTCCCTTCGTGTGCTTTGTGCAGACGAGTGGACGGAATCTGTTGAATACTAACTCCTCTATTGTGTTATTAGATCGCCACATTTAGTTTCGTCAACTCTGGTCAAGTCTGCCTGGCCATCAAGCGCGTGTACGTGCATGAGTCCATTTACGATGAATTTCTCGAGGCCATAGTCGCATACACCAAGACCCTACGGAGCGGTGATGGCCTGACGGAAGGGGTATTCGTGGGCCCTCTGCAAAACGACATGCAATTCCAGAAAGCACAAGGCTTCTTGAGCAATATCCAGAAAGACAACCTTCATGTCGTCACAGGAGATCCGACAGCCGTCGAAAAAGCAGGCTATTTTATCAAACCCACCATCGTTGACCGACCGTACGAGTCGTCTCAGATCGTTCAAGAGGAACCCTTTGGTGAGCAGCAGACCTTGTCTTCTTTTTCGCTATCTCTTCTGCGCTTTCGGCCTGCGAGTGACCCCCCAAATTCGACGTCGCGTTTTGTACTCTGGCTGACATGGAACGCTGGTAATATTAGCTCCTATCCTCCCTATCTTGTCCTGGACGGACGAGGCCGAGGTCATTGGCCGGGCCAACAACTCCAAAATGGGCCTGGGCGCATCAGTCTGGACCCGGGATCTCGAACAGGCCGACCGCATCGCAGGGCAATTGGAAGCTGGCAGTGTCTGGATCAATAGCCACATGGAGCTCAACCCGATGGCGCCTTTTGGCGGACACAAGCAGAGTGGGATTGGCTACGAGATGGGCACTCAAGGCCTGAAGCTGTATTGCAACACGAAGACCATTTTCCGGCCCAAGTCGCAACCATAACACCTAGTGTATTGGTGACAAAGCTCAGACGGAATATGTGTCGTGTCTACAGTCAAGCCCATTCTCTATCACACGCACGTCTATTTCAGTACGCTAGGGTGTTGAAATGGATATGTCAAGATTATTGCTATGCCGCGTACCTGTTTATACTGTTTCCTCTTCGTCCAATGGTGAATTCAAGCCCACTCAACCGGTGGTCAGAACCCTCCAATGAAAGTACAATGGCACATATGGAGAACGAGGACAGCAGTAATAGCATTTCCGGGTCTCTTTGCGTAAATATTAAGACGTTCTCGGTATACCGCGGGAGAGAAAAAGGGTTAACCATCACTATCGTCCTAACACTGTCAGGTCTCGTAGTCATCAAAGCTTCGACCCAGTCGACTTGTTTGCAACTTTGGCGAAACGGCTCGTGGCCGAAGAAGTCGCGGACGACAGCCGGTCGACTACGCCCAAAGTCTCAGCCAAGGTCTGGGAGGCAAGCAAAGGGGTTTGAGGCGTCCGCATCAATGCCTTGACGCGCAGGACAGCATCGGCGCTGAGATCTGCGCCCAGACAGCGATCGAGCTCTTCGAGCACCCGACTCAAGAAGGCGTCTTCATTGCCTTGGGTGTCGAAGACCTGGTTGATGAAGCCCACACGGACCAGGTCCTCGCAGGAGATGCGCTTGGACATTAACAGGGCCTCGGCGGCTTTGCGTGGTCCCAGTTGCTGGATGAGGGTGACGGTCGATGCACCCTCGGCGGCAATGCCCAGCTTCGTGAACGGCGCGTGGAGGTAGACGTTTGGCATCGCGTAGACGAATTCGGAATGACAGACAAGCGCCGCCGAGAGTCCGATCACGGGCCCGTTCAGCGCTGTGACCAGCACTTTGGGGTGGCTGTAGAAGGCTTCAGTCACCTCCAGGATGTGCGACAGGTTGCGAAGAGTCTGTTGGCGCACGAGTACGCCAGTGGCATCGGTCTTCTCGCGTGCGGCTTGTCCGTCCTTCACATCGGCACCACTGAACGGAAGGCTCATCTATTAGCTGATCCGTCTGTCTCTCTATCTCGCCATACTATCATCAAATAAATCAATAGATTTTTTTGGTTTTTCCCAAGGCACAACTTTCGAACTACAGCATCTATGTCTAGGAAACCTAGGTAGGGAGGAACGTACGCGGAAAATAGTCGACCTTTGCCCACTAGCACGGTCGCAGTAATGTCTGGTCGCTGTGCAATATCTCTCATGGTCTGGGCTAGTTGGAAGTAGCCCTGCGAGGTCAGCGCATTGAGCCTTTTGGGGTTGTTGAGTGTGACGATGGCGACACGGCCACGGTATTCCACCGACACAGACATGTATGTGACCAATGTGTGATGTATGATTTATCAGAAGGAGGGTTATATCAGTCACTTGAACAAGACAAACGCTTGGTGTGAAGAAGACATGTAATCAAAGCAACCAGTGACCAGCACTCGAAATCCCGCCTGCCCCCGGTTTGACGACACTTGAATTTGTCTGTGTATTGATTTTATCGAAACACTATGGCCGAAACGGCGGGATTCATCGAGACTGGAATTCTAGGATCTTGAACAGATTCACCGAGGTGTTTCCTGTTTATGGATTCCCCCCAATCCCATTTGTTCCCGAATCCTGGCAGACTGGCTCCCCCCTACATATTCGGGTCTCCGGGCCAGATCGTGTTGTACCGCCGGGTATAGCATCTTGAAAAGGTAACTACCGTGGGCCGGCGAGGGCTTCCTCGCATGACAGCTAAAGTTGTGTTTCGGAAGGCTAGAAGGATGCAGGTTCTGTACCAACACAAGTATTCCCGAGACTCGGTGAAGAAGTCCCCGAACTGGTGGCAACCAGTGCAGGCTCATGGAGCCGGAAGCATGGCCGCCTCTGCGCTCAACCCGAGTCGACAAATCTCGTCCCAATCTCAGTGCTCGCCGCTTGTGCTTCTCCTCTGTCCTCCATCGTTCGTCGGCCCGTGCTCTGGTCTGTCGGTGCAATACCTCCTGTTACTTCGATTTTCAACACTAGGTATGACGCTCTCAGCGGGATCGTTAGAATCGAAGGGGCGGGGTGTTCGACTGGGAACTGTGAGGTCGGTTATAGTCAGTTTTGGTCACCATCGTTCAGATATGACTGGAGCTTACGTCTGACGCGTTCGCCATATTGAGCAATAAGAACCAGGGTTTCGTGATTCTTCTTAGCTCTCGTTGCCAGTATTTTGAGAATTCCCCCATCTTCGACAATCGCTCCTGGGAAACCTCCATCCAAAACTTTGAAGGAGATGCATTCCTGTGATCGATGGTCCGTAGGAGCTTTAGTTGTCCATTCCGCTTTCAACTTATCGAACGCAGTGTTAGCCGCCGGTCCGGATGGGACGAGTCTGTAGTATGCTTCGGCATCGATGTCCGCTTTAATTAGAACAAATTCGGGGTCCTTATCAATCGGAGACACTTTAGTTTTGATAACGGGACTGTTCTGATGTTGGGGGGTCGAAATTACGGGAATTTTCGGTGAGGCGCTGGGGAGATGATCCTTCGATTCTTTGCGAAAGCTGCGTTTCCTTCTGGCGTGTACGTTATGGATGATACACTTGATGGCTTTGTTAACGTTGCTAGTCGCTTCCCCTTGACTCTCAGCCCACGTTAACATGGGTCGAAAGAGAGTGTCATCTTTCAGTATCTGGACGATGTCGTTAATTGCCTGCTTATTGACCTTACTTCCTAGCTTCGCGTCAGGATCGATGTCGAGTGCGTCTAAGAGGTCTTCGATCGGACGGGTAAGAGAGTCGTAGTCGCCTGAGGTGCAGTGTAAAACACGGATGATATCGCTCAACTTCGGATTCTTGTCCAGTGCCTTGATAGTATTCTCTGGAGGCCGTGACCATGGAGTCGGTATAGGTGTCCAGGTCGCCATCGCCCTGATGCTGTTCTTGCTGATCGCTCCTTGATCCCTGGAAACAGTTACTCAATAATGGCGTGGTGGATGAAGACCGAACAGGACTGAAATGAGGGAGAGGTGAGAAATTGGTAAGATCTAAGTAGGTCTGGCAGAACGGCCAGATAAGGCCATTCTTTCCCATCCTTAACAACTTCTCCTTGGGTCTGTGGAGGTATACCGATTTACAACTTTACCTAACAGGGCTGGTATTCCTTATACTCGGTACATATTGTATTGCAGAACCACTCGAATGAGCCATGTTCAACGTCGACCGGGGTTTCTAACTAAAATGTCATCCCTCTGCGGACAACTATACATCTCAACTCGATTGGGGAACTCCATTTCAGGCATTTATTTTGTTCATGGGAATTTCCCCACGAAATCACAGAATTAAGCGATGCCATGCATGAATCCACTCTTCCATCCCTCCCTCGCTCGCTGATCGGCCTAATCGGCCAGCCAGCCGAACCGGACAAACTCCTGGGATCTGCATCGTGCCGCTTTTTTGACCGGTCATTGTCAATGACGTTTGGTCTCATTGTCATGATGCTGGAGGACACAGGCGCTTCTCCCTTCTTCGATAGGGAGGTACAGGTACTCGTTCGGCCGTTCTGGAAGTCGGGGACTTTGCGCGATTTTAGTACCCAAAAGCTGATGATATTTTCTTGGCTCGAATCAAAGAGGATATAGGACAGAGCACGGAAAACGGAAAACAGACGTGTCTCGATACAAGGCGCTGAGGGTACCTTAGTGGCCCGCCAGTCTTGACGAGTTGAAACTCCCGTGGGTGTACGTTGGTGTATTTACACCATCGCTAAACAACTATGGCTGCCCCCGAGCACAATCGCATGCTCTGGTACGAGCAACCGGCAGAGGTATGGACCGAGGCTCTTCCCATCGGCAATGGCAGGCTCGGGACCATGATAAAAGGCGGCCTCGACGTGGACAGACTGTGGATGAATGAAGATTCTGTCTGGTACGGCGGCCCGCAGAACCGGGTCAACCCTCTAGCAAAGGCCAGCCTCCCCGAAGTCCGGAGACTGCTCGACCTCAACCACGTCCAGGAAGCGCAAGAGTTGCTCAAGCGCACCTTTACCGGATTGCCTGCGAGTCTCCGACATTACGCTCCGTTGGGTGACGTCTTTATGACCTTTGGGCACGGGAGTGCCAGCGACAACAAAGATTTTAGCGGAATCTCGGACCAGACCAGGCGAGCCGTCAGGCCAGTGGCGGAGAAATATACGCGTAGCCTGGATCTGACGACCGGCATTGCGAGCGTGAGTTACACCTTTGATGGGGCTGAATATCTACGCGAATACTTTGCCAGTACAGCGGACGAAGTTGTGGCTGTGCGCATCTCCTCGAACCGCCCAGGATCTCTTCGATTCCAACTCAGAATCAATCGTGGCAGCAACGAGAATCCGATGCTGGAGCATAACTGTCTCTACGACAGCCTGAAGAATATCTCTGATGGTCTCATTTTGGAAGCAAATCTGGGAGGCCCAACTGCTGTGTGGGCAGCGATGGGCGTCAAAGTTGTCATTGAGGGGGAAATGGGCCAGTGCCTTCCCGGCGAGGAGCTGCATATCTCAGGAGACTCGGTCGTTGTGCTCATTGCGGGCGAAACGACATTCAGAAACATAGACGCCGGTCAAGCCGTGGTGGATCGACTTGAGAAGGCGGCAAAGTATCCGTGGCAAGAGCTGCGCGAGAGGCATGTGCAGCGCTACTCATCACTCTACTCGAGGACGTCGCTTAGCATCGGAGAGGACAATCCCCCGCTAAGAGCGATCCCCACAGACAAGAGACTCGCTCGTGTGAAGCAGGGCGAAGTGGACAACGACTTGGTGGCACTGATGTTCTCGTTTGGCCGGTTTCTGCTCGTTGCGTCTTCGCTCTCCGGCCTCCCTGCAACGCTGCAAGGAATATGGAACCACAGCCATCAGCCGATCTGGGGTTCCAAGTACACCATCAACATCAACATTGAAATGAACTACTGGCTGGCCGAAGTCGCTAATCTGTCAGAATGTCACTTGGTGCTCTTTGGCCACATCCAGCGCATGGCCGAACGAGGCAAGCAGGTGGCCCAGGACATGTATGGCTGCAGAGGTTTCGTTGCGCACCACAACACCGACATCTGGGGTGACTGTGCCCCTCAAGACCGGTACGTCCCGGCCACGTACTGGGTGTTGGGCGGAGCGTGGTTGTGCACCCATCTTTGGGAACACTACCTCTTCACGCACGACCAGGAGTTTCTGAAGTGGGCATACCCCTTGCTCCAGGAGGCGGCCTTGTTCTTTGAAGATTTCCTCATCGAGAGGAACGGTGTCCTGGTTGTCTCACCATCGGTCTCGGCCGAGAACTCGTACATCATCCCGGGCACCAGGGAGACTGGTGCCGTCTGTGTAGGAGCCACATGGGACGCTCAGATCCTTTACGAGCTGTTCACCGGCTGTGCTGAGGCGAGCAAGATCCTCGGCTAGTCCCCAGAAATGTACCTCAAGGTCCTGTCCCGGCTCCCTCAGCCGAAGATTGGCAAGCATGGCGAACTGCTCGAATGGATGGAAGACGTGGAGGAGGTTGAACCGGGCCACCGACACATCTCGCATGCTTTTGGTCTCTACCCAGGCCGCAGCCTCCTGTCGGAGGAGCATAAGTCAGCTCTTCGAGTCACCCTGCAGCGACGCCTGGTAAGCGGAGGTGGGCACACTGGATGGAGCGCCGCGTGGATACTGGCACTCTATACTCGTCTCCGAGATCCGGCACAGGCACAATCCATCATCCAGAAATTTCTGCAACACTCGACCCTCCCCAACCTCTTTGGCGACCACCCGCCATTCCAGATCGACGGCAACTTCGGCATCGCGGCGGGTATTGCCGAGATGTTGATCCAGAGCCACGAAGACGGCTATGTTGATCTCCTCCCTTGCTTACCGCGCGAGTGGGAGGACGTTGGATGGGTCAAAGGGGTTTGTGCCCGCGGCGGCATCGTGGTGGATATGGAATGGAAGAAGGGGCAGCTTGTCTCGGCACGTTTCACCGGCAGGCGCAAGATACAGTTTGTCGCGCGCATTGACTCGAAGAGATTGGAGAATGGGTCTGGTCAGACTACTCTTCAGCTGGATGAAGGCGAGAGCAAGATTCTCACGGGCTTTTGGCCCAGTTAGAATATATTCCGTCGTCATTGGGCTGGGTCTGGACCATTGTCGAAGAGAAGTTATTGATGCCAGCTTTGGAGCCAGATCATAGAGTAGAGAGGAAAAGAAGGAAACTCTACACAAAAGGAAAAAAAAGAGGGAAAACAAGATCTTTGCGTGGGAGCTTAATTATGCAGGCAGGATGTCAGGATCTAGTAATTACTGCCAGCGTCTGACTGGAAGTCCATCCGTCTCTAATCCAACTGATTGACGCATGATGTGAATCACCCATTTATTCTTTTCGCAATCGAATCAGATTGAGTCATATGCACTGGCTAAAGGCCTTAACGCATGCGTTTCTTTGGGGTCTATCTACCTTTCCTGATCACGCCTGCATTCCTATGACCACCCCCAGCAAAGCCACCGAGAAGACTCTGGCCAATCAATGCATCAATGGGTGTATCGAGTAGAGATTGGTCGGTGTCAAGCCTTGATTTCTCCATAGCAGCTCCATCATCTATCGCCATTGTCGCTGTCACTGACCGAAGCACGGTATTGAGTTCCCCCGATTGAATAGAAGCACAATCCAAGTCTGTGTGGCCTGGGTATCCGAAATGGAAAATGTCACTTCGCTTTTTTTCTTCTTCTCCTTTCTTTCTTCCCTTCTGGTTTTCTGCTTTTTTGGGGTTGTTCCTGTTTGTTTTGATTCATTTTTTTGTTCTTTTGCTTATTTTTGCCTTTTGGTGTGTGTGTGTGTTCCATCGCACTTCTGCCTCAATTTGTTTTCACTTCTTGTCAATGACACTTTCTCAATTCCTTCGGTCGGATGTGCAGACGTATTCTCATAGTATTTGGCCGGCCCTTGTTGTCGTGGAACGCTTTGACTTGTCGGGTATGCTCGAGATTGGCAAATGCCTTTGTCTGACATTTTTTGAGGCCAGCGAATAGCTATGCATGACTACGCAGCAGTTTCTGAAGCTCACTTACACCTGCAGGGGTGAAGACCAAGATATTGTTGCAGCTATTGTCGGTGTCTTCGCCATGGACTGTTGAATGTTAGCATTTGGTGTTTGGAGGCTTACGAGTCCAAGCGGGTAACTTACACAATCCGACGACCTTTGGCTCAAACCCATTTCCAGCGATTCGGTACTGGCAGACCATACCCCCAGAGCAACCCCAATATCCCACGATGTCGCAGTTTTTGAGATGGGTCATACTCGAGGGTTCTTGTGTTAGGACTGGAGAAGAGGCAGAGGTGATGATTCTGCCAAAGGCGACACTTCGGGTGTTGGCAGCGAACGTTTCTGCATATTTCTAGTAGCAATGTTAGTGACAGATCAGTCATGTCGATGTAGTGGGGATCTCACTATGCTCTTGGTGACACAATGTTTCCCATTCTCCTTGGCCCGTCTTATTGTTTCGCGGCTCATCCAATCCCATGCATCCTCGACATTGGCAGCTTGCGCACCAGCCTTCCTATCTTGGTTCAGGTGGGCCTCCGTAACCGTGCACTGCATACCCGGGTAATAGGCAGCGAAGAGCTCTGGGTACAGTGTAGCTTCGCTGCTCAGAGGGTTGGACTCGTTGAATGGTTCCCCGGCATAGATCGAAACCAGGGACGTCAAGTCAACGGAATGCGGAGGCTGCCCTTTCTCTTTGCCAGCATCTGGTTTCAGGCGGAAAACAGCAAGATCGGACGCGCGGTCATGATGAATGAGGTAAACTGGCCATGAATTTGCATCTCAATTCAGTTAGTATGGCCTCAGAATGCATGGTGAGTTTCTGTAGCTTACCGGTGTAGTCATGGTCTCTTGAGACTCTCGAGACATTGACAAATGCGGCCCGTGTAGTCGGTGTTGGGTCTTGGAGGAGTTTCAATGTGCGGGAGATGTTCGTTCCTTCGATCGTGTCCAGAAGATGTGCGCAGGTCAGGAATTTGTCACCATCCAACCAAAAGCCCGACATGAAGACCTCGCTGAAAGTTGCAGTTTCGCCTAGCCAGACAGTGGCATAGAGCTTCCCGGTCGCCATTGAGACGCTTCCAATCTCTCCCAGTACCTAGATCGATTAGCCACTCAGGACTTTGTGAGTGGGTGTTTCGATGCAGACCTTGTTGACCTGGTTGATATTTGATCCGAGGTGTGAGACTTGCGATATGGCACTCTTTCCCTCCAGGACCACCTCCCCTGAGTCCTCCACCTGCAGAGGTCTCTTCCAGGTATTGTGGAGTGGGGAATAGATTGGGCCACCGAATGAACCTTCCATGTTGTACTGAGCAGGCACTTTTCGTTCGCGTAGGGGCGTCACCCAAACAAAGCTGCCAGTGCCGCAATTATACATGTTTCTAGCCATCACCGCGACTCTTTCCTTAGTGTCGCGGTAATTACAGTGACTGAGTGACGCTCGCCAAGTGATGTTTGGCCAAGTGGTGAATCTAGACGGGGAATGTAAACAGAAATTATGGAAATGTACAAAAGTTCCTGACAACTGAGAGGAACAGATTTCATTTTCATATATCTGGGCAAAGCCGTGTCACTCAAACTTGGTAGAAAGAGTCTAACGCGACTAGGAAACTGGGCCGAAGTCGTGAAGAGTAAGTGAGCAACAGCAGTACCAACAATGAGAGTAATTAACTGAACCTGGTTAATATCCCCTGTCACTCTTCATCATTAGATCTCAACATGTGGAACAAAGTGACGATCAAGTGAACAGACCTCTTGGTATTCACTCTTGTATGGGATTCTGAAAGGGCTCTAGTGAATCTCTGGTCCATGCATCACTTTTTAGGCCTCAAAGTTCAAAGAGATATACAAACCATGTCATGAGGCCATCAAATATCACAAGGCTGAACTCTGTCACGAGGCTGTCGCTTAGAGGACACGTGACAGCGCTTCATCAGTGATGCACTAAGCACGTGAGAGGCTAGCCGCTGGACAGTGGTAGCTCCTACAAATGCTCTATACCTGTACCCAGTACGAGGTACCTGGTACATCACTGACACACGTGGAACGCCCCCTTACAAGTACTTTGTTGTTCCCTATCCACTCTTCCGCCGCTAAACCTCAGAATCGCCCATGGTCTGACATCTCCAAGGCCAAGCCAGAGGAACTGCGGGGATCCCGCTTTAGTGCCTCGCACTCTGTAATCAAACATGAAATCCGGAGAAGCCGCGTGGCCCCGGCTGGAACACTTTCCTTGGCTCACAAAAAGTCCGCCGCCCTCCTTTAAAACCCCGCCAGCCTCCTCGACAGTCAAACCTTTCGCGCAATATAACAAAAATAGTGGACAAGGCTCGAAATTCCACAGAGAACGAAAAAAACCAACATTGCCCTAATCTTTGTGTCAAGATGCCCGCTGGCGCAGGGAGTTCTAAGAGCAAGTCCCATACCTGTGAAGACTGCGGTCAAGTTTTATCTCGACAGGATCACCTGGAACGCCATCGTCTTACCGCTCATTCGGAGCGTGGTGCGTTCGACTCTGCGTGTACGGCATGTGGCAGGAGGTTTTCTAGGAGGTCAGTCTAAGTTGCGGCGGTTGTTTTCGGCTGGATCTGACGTGCCTAGGGATGTGCTGGTGCGGCATTACCGCGTGCTACATGGAATTCATTGCGAGCCGCGACCCAAGGGACGACCGAGGAAGACCTCGAAACAAGCTCCAAACAAGGCGTACTTACCGTCTACCTTCTGCATCTCCTTACCAACTGACTCTGTAAAGGTCTGCTAGTTCAGCTGATTCCGAGACTCAGACCAACGCCGACTCGAGTAACAGCTTCCCGCAAGAGAGTGCTGCATCCGAGCGCAGTCAAATCATCCCAGAGCCTCCTTCCGAGCTACCTTCTCAGCTCGCCGGCGACACCCTCGACTCACAATGGGAAATGCTTTTGAATGCAACATCGTCCGAGCTACACAATGTCGGCGTAGCTCCAGTGTCTGACCGCAATAGTCATAATCGGTCAAACTTCTCCAACGCGTTCCATCAGGATTCGGACCTAATGACATCGTTTCCTGGAGTCCAGCCGTTGTTTGATAATGGTTTCTACTCCTTCAATGGTATGCATGGCATCTAACGACGGACATGTTTGTCCTTCTCCAAGACTTTGATTGACGCAAGATAGATTTTGACAGTAACTTCTCGCTCCTCAGTTGGATGAACTCGGAGACCCTGGCGAATACCTATAGCATGCCACCAGACTTGAGCGTCCCGGACGTTCCAATGCAAGGCTTGGAGGACCCGAATAGGTCCACAAGGGTCCAGCAGATGATGCGAGACAGTAAAGCCATGAATCACAATGCCATAGGGGCAAACACTGACACTGGCCTCTCGCTCGACAAAGGAGACTCGGTGGCCACGTTCCCGAATATAGACACATCAGCACTACCAACTCCATCTGCATCACACGATCCAAGTGCCGGCACCCCGCTGGAGGAAGCGCCAGATCCAGTCTCGGTGGAAAGAGACGCCAACACTTGGCCGTACGAATACCAAGCTGAAGGAGAGGAGGAAAGGATCACTTTCCCAGTCCTCAATCCTGAGGATCTCAGAAGTGCTCAAAAATACCACAGTGTCAGCGGCACAAGCTCTCCAAGGAAGAACTTCCAGCTCCTTGGGACCTTTGGCAAACTAGATGATAAGAAACTATCAAGTATCATCCAACTGCTGAGTCTGCCACTTGTGCGAGTACCTTGGCAGGAGGATGTGGATTTACTACGATCACTGCCAGGTCCCGACATTCTTCATCACTTCACTGATCTATACTTTCTCCATTTCCATGACGTGAGTGGAGAGCAGCGCCTGCCGCACGTTCTGTTCGCTTTGCTGACCTGTTGGCACCAGCTCTGGCCTATAATACATCGGCCGACATTTAAGATATCCGATGCACCCACGATTCTGGTGCTGACCATGGCCTGCGTGAGTCATCACTGCGGCCGCTCCTTAGGTTTCAGGTTTTCACGGCTAACATGTGTCAACAGATTGGGGCGTGCTACTCTGGTCTCGATCGGTCCATTGAGTTTGCCGACACGCTTGCGGAGCTCTGCAGGCGGACGTCTACTTGGATGGTTAGCGCCACTCCTCCGTCATCCATCACATAGGGGGTAATTAACCTGGATTGACCTAGGGCGAGCATGATCCCCGTTTCTTGCGGTCTCCCTCCTATGGAGTATCCCTATTGCTGCAGCATCTCCACGCCATGGGCTCGGGCTCACGACGCCTTTTCGAGATGACGGACGCTTCTCGTTCGCGCCTCATCAGCATAGCTCGGCAGATGAACAGCACGGGACTACATGTCTCGCGTAGTGAAACGGAGTCGTCTGAGCGAGACACGTTTCAAACGTGGCTTGACTGGGTGAGCAAAGAGCAAGTCAAGAGATTGGGATGGTTTCTATTCGTGAGTCTCATCAGCCCGCTTGTAATTTTAGCACTCTCCAGGACAAGGCAGGCGACTCTACAGCATGAGCTGACCACCCATCCAATCTCAGGAGTTTGACTGTCTATACTCGGCCTTTTCAAAACAGAACCCGTGCACAAAACTTGAAGAACTGCCGCCGGAGTTCCCTTGTGAGCAGTTACACTGGGATGCGCCCACCGCCTTTTCTTGGGCGGCTTGTCCATTTCAGACGGCGCCGCGAGGACCTCCGACCATGCAGACCATCCACGATTTTCTAGAGAAACCCAGCCCATCGATCATCAGCTCCCTCGACAACATCGGTAAGCGGTTGTTGATCCGGTGCCTCGGCCAGCAGCTGTACGCTTGCCAGGAGCAAATGGACTCGGGCCTGTACCACATCCTCTGGAAGGGCAACAACGGGCTGGAAGTGAGTCGCGCTGTGCGGTCACAGCTCTCAAGAGCTATCCTCTCCGTGTATGAATTCAGCTGGGCTGATCATCCGCGCCGCTACACCCTCCGCCACGCCCTTCGCATCGGTGTCGCCGGACACTACAGCCACATATTTGGCGCAGGGAAGATCGTCGACCTCGTCACTCGCGTCGCCCGCAAACGGGCCTCCGTGTTTGACATGACCAGGTTGTCCAACACCACAGGCTCTGCCCCAAACACCAACAACAAAGGCGCGGCCGTGGACGAGGCAGCAACCATCGCAGCATTTGGCGAACACCCCGAAATCATCAGGGAGATGATGTGGCATGCCTCACAGGTGTGCTACCTCCAACGCCGCCACCCATTCAATTCACCCCTCGAACCTCTGTCGGTCTTTCTGGCGGGCATAACACTTTGGGCGAGCTGCAAATACTTTTGTCCACATCAGGCATCGATGCGCACAGGGCCTTCAATTCAGTTGGATGAACCATCCTTCTGCAGCTCCCAACGCGCCAGTCAGGCTGTTAAGGACTGGATCAAGAACGGCGGCAAGACCTTTCTGGAGGGTGTGGGCGACGTTCAAGACCCGGAGGCGCCGAGTCGGGTGCTCCAGCTAAGCGTGGACATCACCCGCCGACTAAAAGTGTGGCAGATGGCGTCGAATGTATCAGAGATTTTTGTCCGGCTGTTGCAGATCGAGGAACAGGAGGCTGCCCATCGGCATGAGACAAACACGTTTCAGCCACAGTGAATGAATTCCGTTCCGGAGCAAAATATCTGGCTACATTACGAGCCTGTCACCAGCACCGATTTAGAGGATGCAACTTTCCCTTTCTCAACCGCATGCAGCATCGCCAGCGCGGTGTCTGAGGTTGAAGTCGCATCTATACTGTCACTGGACGAACCGAACGTGAGATGTATCCATCTATGCACGGCGCAGTCAGGGACTCGCCGGTGGAGTCACCATGCTGTGACACGCCTTTTCGATTTAATTGGGAACACATGTTCACGCGGGTATTCCAGGCCAGGATCGAGACGAGTGGTTCATACGCTACGATCAACGCATGACTTAAACTTTACGAATCTTCATGTCTTATAATCCGTCCAGCTCTTTGTTCTTTTGTGGCAAGAATTTGTACTACTTCGTGGCTCCTCCTTTCCTCTCAGCCTCCAACAGAGCAATGGTGTCCTCATAGATCAGATCCATCTTACTCATGGTCGAGCCCGGGCCCGATGGCAATGGACTATCAACCAAGACCCTCCTCGTCGTATTCTTGAGCCTCTCGAGGACTGTCCCGCCCTCGTACTCGGCGCTCTCGACGAGCAGGAGCATGGTCTCGGCCAACTCTTCGGGCGTGGCAAACACGTCGTCTTCGGAGATGGCCTTCATCTTGTCGGGGCTCTCGCTCCACAGCGGCGTCATGACCATGCCCGGCGCGACGGCAACGACTTTGATCCCGAACTCCTGGTGCAGCGGCGCGAGGGACCGAGTGAATGCCGACACGGCGGCCTTGGAGGTCGCGTAGAGGGGTTGGTTGAAGAGAGCGTACTGCGCGGCCAGCGATGAGATGTTGAGGATCACTCCCACGGTCTCGCCCCCGCGGCCGCGGCCTTTCGACCGGGTGATTTGGTCGCGGATCGCGAGCCGTGTGCCTTTCATCAGCCCTTGCACGTTGATGTCGATCGACTTGTAGCTGGTCTTTTCGGTGTCTTTCCAGAAACTAGACCAGTCCTGTTTTTTCCGCACCAGGACAAATCCGCAAGGGTTAGTTAAAGTGTCTAAACACTGATATTTTATAGTAGAATCGATGTCGTCGGCTGGAGAAAGAAGAAAGGAGAGAGAGATGGCGAACCGGTTCAAAGACCCCAGCACCATTACACAGCACGTCAATCTGGCCCAACTCGGCCTTTGCAAATGCGAACAGACTCTCCAGGTCCTTCCAGCTCGACACGTCCGTCTTATGGAAGAGCACCTTTGTTGCGGTGGTGGCTTTCTGGAATTCCTTGAACGCGGGCGTCTCTTGGATATCTGCAACGACGACGTGCGCGCCGTTACTGGCGAGTAATTTGGCGAATGCCAGGTTTATTCCTACCTCCCGCAGACAGGTGCGTTTGTTAGCGGTTTTGGCCAATGTGGTCAACTGGACGCCGGACAAAAAGTAAAAGGATTTTGCCTCTGGAGTTCTAGACTGCAGACTTGACAAAGGACTCGGGTCGTTACATACATGTATACATACCTGAACCGGCACCCGTCACGATAGCATTCTTTCCACGTACCGGGAACGACATTTCCTAGATTCGACCTTTTCTTTCTGTTCTTGACTTGGGTACTCTTGTGGGACGGGATAACTTGTCACTTTGTCACTTTTTTGCTATTAACCTTGGATGTACCTAGGCTACGCGACGCGCCCCGTGCAACGGCATCATCTTTAATAAATGAAACCCTACCGTGCCTCCCTCGGCGCATTGCTTTGCAGTTGGTGACTTTCTCCAGAACTCTGGCTGCATCTAGGTTGGCGTGGCGGGGGTTTTTGCGGGAGGAGTTGGTGGGGGATGAGTTGGTGGCAACGGAGCGTGAGGTCCCCTTACCAAGACAGAAATTACTAGTCATGACGTATGCCGATACTAAGAGAAACTCGGGCATTTTTTGAGTTGTGGTCCTTTCACCCGCGTGCTTTGAAATGCAAAGACACTCTTGCTGTCAAGTGGGAAGGGTTCTTGTGGCAGAAGGGGGATATGCAGGGTACCACTGTCAAGGCTACCCCCGCCAGCCCGTCAAATGCATCAATGATCTCGTGACTAGCTAGAGCCAAAGCATGTGTGAGGCAGGCGCTCTATCTCATAGCAGCTGAGTGTCCAATATTATTGGCTTGACCGATTTCCGCATCCTGAGGTCTAGCCTCGTCGAAAGAATTCCGTATCAGAGCAGCACGTCCATATAGCACCGGGCCTTGTCTCGCCCAGTAAGGTTGGCTTTTCAACGACAATGGCAAGCCCTGTCACAGTGTATATTATACCACTATCGTATGAAATGCTAGGGGGCCAGAGGCAAGAGGATAGAGACTACAGCTTCGATGGTTTCCACCTCGGCGGCCTCTTCTCCCTGAACGCAGCCAATCCCTCACTCGAGTTTTCACCTGCCATCATCTTCTCGTAGAATCTCTCATGGGTGTTCTGAAATGCTCTCTCGACACTGGGAATTTCCCAAGCCTCCCTCAAGGCGGACCTCGTAATGATCATCGCGTCTGGCGATACTGCGGCGATGCCTCGGGCGATCTCGATAGCCTCGTCAATGAGCGTCTCCGGTTTCTTCGAGATGTAGTTGACGAGATTACGCTGGAGTGCTTCTTCCGCTGTGATGGATCGTCCACTGAGAGCGATCTCGCTGGCGACATGCAGCCCTGCCGTTCGAATGAGTCGAGGAAGACCGCCTCCGTAGGCATACAGCCCAACCTTGGCCTCTGGGAGACCAAATTGGGCATTTCGAGCGGCGATTACCACGTCACTACTCGCTCATCCATCGTTAGCCGTGCGTTTCATTTTTCTCAAAAAAAAAAAAAAAGAAAAGAAAAAAGAAAAAAGAAAAAAGAAAAAAAGGAGGGGGGGACGGTGTGGACGCACCAGTTCAGGACGATTTCCCATCCTCCACCCAGCGCGTAGCCATTGACCGCAGCTACGACTGGCTTTTTCCCTTCCCTTCTGCTCAGCCCTGCAAAGCCAGTCGTCGGGTGCGTGTACTTGTACGGCTCGGCCTTCCACGAATCGTCGCCCGACTTTTTCACTCGTTGCATCTCAATCAGATCCGAGCCGACGCAAAACGCCCGGTTGCCCGTGCCTGTGATGATGGCCACGCGGAGCGAGGGCTCGTTGTCGAACCATTTGAACAGCGCGTCCATCTCCCAATGGAGTGCGTAGGGTATCGAGTTGAGCTGCCGGGGTCGATTGATGGTTGCAAGCATGATATGGGCTTCGGGGAAAGTCACGTCGCAGCCACCGCATTTTGGAGGCGGCGATTCGAATGCTTCGTGGATACCCATTGCGGTTTGCTGGAGCTGTGCTTTGAGGACGTCAATACATGTTCGCGTTGAAGACGACAGGCAGTTTCCTAGATTAATGAAAGATTGATCAGACAAGTGCTCGGAGTTCTCTGCTGTTCCGGGTGGGGGAAATACTTCGGCGACTGCTGATGGACTGCGTCTGCCTACAGCAGATTTCCCCGCTTGGAGAGGCATTTCTATTTTGAAACAGGGGGATGTTATTTTCATGTGAAAGGATGGTTGAGTCGAGTGTCCTTCTGAAGGCGATGAAGGGCGTCAAGGAATGTGAGAGTTACTATGCGACTTGTGCTCAACTCGTCCTGGTCATGTCTAGAGATGGACTCTCATCTATTTTCTCCTAATCGGCATCGCTAACTGTCAATTCCATATCTACCCAAACGCCTAGTAGTTAAAGTAAATGTATAGTATCTACAGTCTAGCACTTAATCGGGTAGTCTCCGTACCCAGCAATTTCTCAACCTCGTAAAACGGCAGATACTGTGTCAGAACAGCCTTCTCCTCTGCCGGGCACGTCAACTTTGCGATCCCTGCGCTTCCCTCAGAAAGGACCTTTTTCAACGGAATCTCCAGCTTCTTGTTGTTGGCGTTGTAGGGGATGTCCTTGACCCAGAACACGAATTGCGGGACGTGACGACGACTCAGGTCCCTGGCAATCTGTGCACGGATTTCCCTCTCCAACGACGCAGTATTCGACCCTTTTGCGGCTTTCAGGAACAAGAACACTCGTTCGCTCTCGTCCCATGGTCTCTGCTGGCCCACACAGATTGAATCTGTCACCCGGTCCCGGAACTTCTGGTCGATGATGGAATATATCTCCCCGCTACCGAAGCGCACCCCGGACGGGTTCAACACGCCGTCGCTGCGGCCCAGGATCACCCATCCCTTGGTTTCTGGATTCATCCGGGTGAAGTCCCCGTGCCTCCACACACCAGGGAAGGTGGAGAAGTATGAGTCGAAATATCTCTTCTTGCCCGGGTCGTTCCAGAACTTGACCGGCATGTTGGGGAACGGCTTCTTACACACGAGTTCTCCGCTCTCGCCCGGTCTCGCGGGCTTGCCGTCGGCCGTAAACACGTCGACGTCTGCGCCGAGCTCCTTGACTGTCATTTCACCCGCGTAGCCCGGCATGCCGATGTGGCCTGCGAGGAAGTTCCCGCAGAGTTCCGTCCCGCCGGAAAAGGACATTTGACACACAGGGCCAAAGGCCTCCATCAGCCACTTTGACTGGGACTCTGTCAAGATGGCGCCCGCGGACAAGATGCACTTGAGGTTTTTGGCGTACGGTTTGGGGTTGACGCCGGCCTTTTGGAGCTCTGAGAAGTATCGAGGACCGGCTCCCCAGGCTGTTACTCCGGCTCCCAGCACTGCTGCAAGTTGTTTCTCCGGGGTTGGGTAGAATGGGGATCCGTCGTAGAGAACGATGGTCGTGCCGCAGAACATGGCAGAAACCATAATGTTCCACAGGATCCAGCCGATGCCCGCATAGTGGTAGTGGACATCATCCGGGCCAAAGTTGTTGTGGAGTAGGCTCTCCTTTTTCCCATTCACCACCAAGCCGCCGTGTGAGTGGACGATGCCTTTCGGCGTGCCGGTGGTGCCTGAAGAGAAGGCGATCATCAGAGGTTGGTTGAAGGGTACTTGGTCGAAGCGAAGCGGCCTGCCGGTCCCGCGCCGCCGGAAGTCTTGCACGGGA